AATGTTTTGTCTCAAACCCTTGCGAGTCTTGTGAGAAACCCCTTCTTTGTGCGCAAATCATCTTCAAATAATCTCTAAAATTGCGGAACAAAATTGATGAAGGAAATTTTCCGTTACCACACTTTATATTATTTGTCTCTCATTTAATGCTTCAAGAAAGAAAAAAAAATCATATTGAAATGAGATTCTGGGACTTTTTCAGTGTCTCATCGTTCAAGAACACCAAACTCAATTGGTCTTCTCTGCTAATTGTACAGCGACCAAAAATTAAATATTTGCATTTCCAAGTCAGAAGAAGTGAACAGAGGAGTGAAGAAAAAAGACTCATCAAATTTTGACGAAGGTCTGTATCCAGTGGTGTCAGTGAAACATGAAGTTCATAGATCATTTGCTGCCACACCGTGGCACAAGGCAAAGGTATGAATATTTTATGGGGTTTGCAAATTCAATCGCACAATCAATATTTCGACCTCTGCGGGCACAACACCGCACTTCTCAAGTGCCCATTAAGCTGCGCGGCGTTCTTCCTCTGGGCAAATCTTTTCTGCTGAAACACACCCGAATATCTATGCTGCGGTGTGTCTTATGTGTGATTTTAAAATATTCTAAAGTCAACATCACATAACTTGAGGTATAATTATCATTTCAATTATATAACCATTGAGAGACAGAGAGAGCAAGTTTCTGAGAGTCCCAGATTCAACGGACATATTTCAATAAAACACACCATCGAAGATATGCTTCTCCAACTTCATCGTCCAAATTGCTGTGATATTTTGCGCCTATAAAACCAACCGATTAGCCAATGATGGCATTTTCCGTGATGCCCTGCGAAAAGTGCGCGTGCGCGCGCGCGACTCCCAAGCCCAGAGAACAGGAATATTGAACTCTAATGGCATGAAGAGAAGGTGTCTGTCGAGTGAGAGTTTTTCGAGACTTTACTTTCAATCTCATGGTGCAAAAATTCCACCTCTCACGTGCACCAATCGTGCCTTTTAGCAGGTTGTTTGCTCTTTTTTTTCTGTGCTTCACTCTCAACTCTCCTCGCGGACCAGAATCGCCCCCCTCGGCAAAAGCACACCATCGACTTGCCATGCCAGTCAAGAAGGTAATAAACCAGTGAATTTTCTCGCTACGGCCTTGATTTCGTTAAATTGCCGAAAGTAGGTTAACTTCTTCACCAAAACCACCGATGGACTTCTTTGACACTCTCGCTTGGATATAACATATGTTGAGAAGCACAGTGCAAAAAGTCCACCGCTCGCGTTATATATCTCTCGATGCTATGCGCAAATTGCTATTTGCAGCACCTTTTTTTTCCTCCACGCTCACACTCTTCACGCCACCTGCCCAGGCTCTGAGCCTATGATTTATATGCTATCACTTGGCATTTAATTGGCGACAACAGAGTGCATTTTGAAGAGAAAGAAATTATTTCAGCCTCTCACAGCTCAACCACCAGGCGTCCCCACTGACTCTTCCACCCACAAAACACATTTAGTGATTTAACACACCAATTAAATCAATGCTATGCGCAATAAAAATAGACAATTTTCACACAATCAAAGTTAAACATCGTTTTTTGGCCACTGGAGAATTGAATTTTTAATGACCTTTCAATTTTTCACCACAGGAAGACGCTGAAAACATTTCCCAACTGATTTCTTAATGATTTTCCCATTCATAATCTTTGCTGTCAAGCTCAAATCCTTGAATTTTCCAAAACATTTCACCCACTTTTACTGGCATTCAATTAAAAAGTAAAGATTTTTTTTAGCACATTATCACCCTGTATATCACCGACAAATCTCTCACATTTCACGTTCAACGAATTTAGACACCATCAAAAGAAATCTCTTTATGCCATATTTTATCATGGCCAGAGCGAAGCAAAACTACCGAGAAACTTTGCAGGTGTGATTATTGGCTATGATGCCTGTTTTTTTTGGAAGAAAAGTGCAATGATTAATTTAATTGAATTCTTTCTCTTCGCCGAATATTTCAGAAATGAAACATAATAAAAAAAATATATATCGTCTTACTCTATTTCAGATAATAATTGGTGTGATATTTAGTGGAAAAAAAGAGCATAAAAGCACATGAGTTATATTGGCTTTCTTTCCCTCCTTTTGTGCACACACAGAGAAGAAGAAGTTGAAGAAAAAAAATGGTTTCGAGGAGGAGTTTAGCAAGACTATATCTTGTTGTTTTCTCTTTCATCAAAACCATCGGGGAATAGAATTCATATATGTGTCTTTAAAATACATTATTATAAAAGGAATTGCACAACTTTTGTGGGTGCATAAAAATTCTTCTCGAAATTATTTCACCTTCCACATATTGCTGCACAATGAAGTGGCTTTTTGCATATGCGCCGAGATCTCTCAATGGGTTTTGATGATTGCAATAATATATTATATTGAACAAGTCCGCGCGACTCACAAGCATTCTAGGGAGTGTGAGTTTGCCGTTTCCTATTCACCAAGTCCTAAAGACACAGCGCACGATGGCCATCAAAAGCTCTCTATGTATTCTCTTCACCTGAGCGAATGATGAAAATGTGACATCATCACCTGCCCGGAATACGAAATGATATTTGAGTAAATATTTCACTTGTAATGTACAATTTTTATGTTACATCCGGATTTGAGGAAAATACAGGTATTCTTCTTCTTCTTCATCTTTTTTCTTCGCCACACGATCGCATGGCAACTTCTTCATTCATGATTTTGAGAGTTTATCCATAGGAGAATCTCTCGGCCAAATTTGTACAAATTCCAATTGGCGATTCCTCACCAAAGTGAATGACTATAAAAGAGAGAGAAAGAGAGAGAGAGAGAAGGGAGGCCTGAGGAGAGCATGAAAAAAAGAAGATTTTTCACGCCACAGAGAGAGAGAGACTTAAGCAAACATTATCAATTCTAATTAACATTTTCTTTCGTAACCGTACCGAGTCTGCAAAACTAGCTTGAGAGACGCTTCGACGGACAGTTTGGATAGAGACAATATTTAACTTATGCGGCCATTTATTTTATTAGTTTTCTTTTTGTTGCCTCGTCTTTTTTTCCATCACCATATATACACATCTTCAACACCTCCAACGTTCGCCCATTTGATCAGTGTGTATTGATTTGAGAGAGATAAGCAGATGCGATTGATTTTTCACACACACACACACAAACACACTTTGGGGAAAATCTGTGCCATAAAAACTCAAGCAAAAATAATTTGTTGGAGGCAATAAAATTGATTTTTATAGCATTTTCGGGCTGAAACACAAGCATTTGCAGAAAAACGATCAATTGTGAAATTGAAGATATTCAAAACAAACAATTCATTGCATAACATCAAATGTATAACTGCGTCTTCTGGTCATTATCTAACTTCACTCTTCCCTTATCGTCTCAGACTTCTCCCCATAAAATTCAAGGATACGCCAAACTCCACTTTTCATCGACATTTTCGCCGCTTTTTCCCACACAAACACGCCGCGCGCAAAGTGCATTGAATAACAACTTTGGGTTGGGTCGCACAGCTCGAGTGTCTCCACGGGGAAATTTGCATCAATTTTGCATTGATTAAAACCGAAATTTTATAAGCGCGCACAAAAAAAAAGAGGCAGCCAAGTGTGGCTGGCGAAGATGCTTCTTGTCCATCCCCACCGGGTCGAAAAATCGAAAAATTTCTCTCTCATTCACAACAGTGGTGTGAGTGAGTGTGTGGTGGACTTTTATGATGAATAAAAGAGCTTTCCATTGGATTTTTCTTTCACAACCATATCATATATAGTTCGATATGTGTCTTTCTCCCCAGCACACACTCAACGACGCTGACCGTACGCGAGGGAAAAAGCAATATCGAGCTGTGTGTATACCCAATATGAGGCGTAAGAGCGCAACAGACACCGTCTAAATATATGGGATGGAAAAATATATGTATGAAATAAAGAAAGTGACGACGAAAAATGTTATTTAAAATTGAGAAAGTCGCGGGCAAGTCACAACCACACAGACCCATCCAACTTTTATCGCGCCACACTCTCGCCCATGGACACGCGACAGGCTGAATCGCGAGCGATTTTTCGAAATTAAAGAAAAATAAAAAAAATCTTTATCATTTTCCCCATTTTATACACCAATTTTCGTCCACTTGTTGGCTCTTCTCAGTGGCGATAAAATCATTTCCATCTCAGCAGGGAAATTGCGTACAATAAATCTTATGCAAATGACAAGCCGTTTTTTCCACCACCCGAAAGTGCGCTGAGGAAAAGTCTCTGTCTCTCTGTCTCTGCATCTCTTTAAGCACACGGTGACTTCAAAAAGCTTCTTTGGCACTCTTTTATCTTTGGGTAGTCAACGCGGAGTTAGATAATCTTTTTACATTATATATTGTCCATTTATTGATTTTTTATCCACCTCATTCGTACAAATATTTATCTGTAAAAGTGAAAGGAACTCGAATTTTTACATAATTTTTCATATCCAACGCGCTTTTTATCGTGAGCGCGCGCGACCGTTTCAGAACGGGCGGGATTTTGGGCGCACTTTTTCAAAAATGTTCAACACCACACGAGCGCGCGCATTTCGGCAGCCCTGCACAGCGAAAAATCGCGCATTTCCCAACCTCTTTCTCTCATCTCTCGCTCTCGATCTACTTTTCCATCCCTTTCGCATCCCGTATTTTCACTTTGTTGGCAATTCGTGGGTGGGAAAGTCACTGGTCATTTTCTCATTTCGTCACTTGAGCCGCGAAAGGGGGTCACAGATGATGGAAGAGGTGCGAAAGGAGGCAAAGTGCAAAAGTCGTTATGTAACAGGATTTGTGGGAAGAGTTTCGGACTGGAATGCCCACCTGTAGGAGCAAGCAGGGAGTGTGGCGGCACCAGGGAGACTTCCAGCACTCCCTGGCTGTCCACCCTCCCGCCCACTGGGTGGCCAGGCTGAGCCAGGACGACCTGAAGCAGGTCAAGAGTTGTGGTGGTAAAAGAAGATCTCTCTTACCTGACGTAAGAATTTTCCACACAATCCTCTGAGTGTCTGTGGCTGTCCGGAAGCTGATGAGTACACTGTGGCGGATGGGGCTGCGAATCGCCGACGGGACTGCTGATAGTAGTTTCTATTGTTACTTAAAAACTGGCACAATTTCTCTTGCACTCGGGTGGCTACCCGATTAGAACTGATACACGCCATAGTCAAAACAATTGTGAGACGATATGTCGTGTGCATTTAGCACGGGGCCCCCAAAGTAGAGGCCCTACCACCACTCCACACCACACGGTTCCCTACTCCTCTGCAGCGGCAGAAGAAGAGGCACAAAACGAGTAAATGCCGTTGATTCAGCTGATTTTGACATCTTGAGCCCACTTTTCCTCCCTCCACGTGCTCTCAAACTCTCCAATCGCGCGCTCTCTGGAGACTTTCCCCGTAGGCGGCGCTGTCAGCCACCATAACCTCACAAGATGCTGGCTCGGGTGTTTTCTGCCATCGAAAGATTCATCTTTCCGCAATTTCCACGCCAGTTTCCTGGTAATTTCCCACCCATATCGCCTAGGGAAACCATATCGGACTGTGTCTTACAAGTGTTTTACGTCTTTCAGCTCTCGCAGTCGCTGGTGTGGACAATCGCCTGGAACGCTCGGAGCAGGGATCAGGACTCTGGGAGTCGCTGAAGAACACCCTCGAGGACGCCATCGTGTGGGCAGTGCCGAAGAGTCGGCGCACAGTTGAAAAGCGCATGATGAGGAAGTTCGGAAGTCCGGAGAAACCGAAATTGTTGCAGGTGAAGACTCACCTGAAGATCTGCATCACTTGTGGTCATCACTACGAAGTGGGAGTTCTCTGCCGTAAGTCTAGACTGTCCTTACATTCCTCCCAGACACTCAATTCCCCTCTTTGTGGCTGCAGCGCATTGCTACAATCGCGTCAGGAAGGAAACAAAGCAAATGCAGGAGGAAATCAAGCAGAATCTGGGCCTGAAGCCCATCGAGCAGGATGTGATTGTCCTCTATGAGGGCGAAAAGCTGCAGGGCGCCACGGCGGAGATGTGGCAGGGCAAGAGGATCGTGGAGATGAAGCGTCCCAGGCCGGCGTGGTTCAGCAAGAACCTCATGGAGAAGACGACTCAACCTCCAGCCACGACGAAAGAGGTGAAACCCACGGATCTGGGCTGAAGCCTTAAAACATCTAGTGTTTATCTATTGTAGTTTATTATACTGATAAAATCTCCACGCTCTGAGGCGCTGAAGGGGTTTGTCTGGAACACTATTTATAAGTTCTATTTACACAATTTTAATCCGCAGTCTCTCAGCAATGCGATAGAAAAAGTCATTTCCGAACGACGAAATGCCCACGAAATCTCAGATCTCTCCGTGAAAGAAAATCCTCCCGGAGTGTCAGAAGTTCGACACGATCTCGTAGTTGCGCTCCACGCTCAAGTCCATCTCGTTCTCGTCCACAAAGTGCGACTCCACGTGCTCCTGGAACTCCTCGAACTTGCTCGTGGTGCTGTAGATCTTGCCACACATCGGGCACATCTTGTCCAGCACGTCGGCGAGTCGCTTCTGCTCCAAAAAGTCCAGGCGACTGGCATCGAAGTGGCGCGGAAGTGGTTGTGGAGGCACAGTCGGTGGACATGGCGGTTCAGGGATTGGCGGAGTGGCGGATTCGTGCTCCTCCTCGAAGTCCGTCTGAGAATCGATGGACACCGTCACGGGCTTCGCCACTTCGACCCTCTCCTCGCACGCTCGACAGACTTTCAGCTCTGCGGAGTGGAAAAGAAGACAAACAGTGAGACCAAGAGTGCGTTTCCTCACACTGCAACCTTCTGCTGAGGTCACTCACGCATTTTCCACACTCTTGTGGTCAAATTACATAACTTTTTGCACAAATTCACCCCTTTTTTATTCTGTTTCTCGGTATTTTCATGTCCGGGTGAAAACCCGCTCGTCAAAATCATCTTAAAAAACATAAATTACCTCTAGAGATTCGGTTGTTTTTTGCTTATCGTAAATTAAAGAGCAAGAAAGAACGCTACATTGTTTACGGAAAGCAAGAACAAGCGAATGTGGTGTAAGAAATGCGCTTATCAGCTATGCGAAAAACTCTTTGCGATAGTAAACAAGTCATCACTGTTACTCACCGCGTTTGCGGGACTTTCTCTGCTCCATCAGCTCCCTTAAGTCACTCTGCTGCTTCACCATTGTGTCCTTGAGCTTCCTGTACCTGTCCAGGCCCTTGGTCAGCTTTTCTGTGATGTCACCTTCGGTGTCAGGCGCGTCGTCGGCCAGGAAGCCGAATCCCATCAGCGTCTCACCGTCCGCCGTGCTGGCAGTCATGATCTCTTGGCAGCTCTTCTCCAGCTGCTGCTTGGCGTCCGTCACGTCGTTCAGCATCTGCAGGGAGATCTCCTCCAGGCTGAGATTCTCCGTGTCTGGGAGTTTGTCGCGCAACTTCGGATTGGGAGCGTTCTGTGTGAATGTCTTGGAGCGAATGAGGTTCTGGCTGTTGATCGGCGAGGGTGGACTCGCCTTCGGTGGACAGCTGTCCTTCGTGAGGCGCGACAAGCGTGACCACAGCTGGCGATTCTCCGTGGCCACCATTGCAATGTGATCCGTCAGCTGGACTTTCTGTCTCGTGAGATCCGCCACCTTGGCCTGCAGCGCCCCCACCTCGTTCTCAGCACTGTCACCGAGCTCCTGGCCACGCGAGTCACCCACCTTCACGCGCAGCTGATGGTTCTCCTCCTCGACGGCCGACAAGCGAGCCTCGAGCTTCTGACATCTCTCCCGGAGCGTCGTGAGTGCGATGTGAAGTGCGTAATTGGCTTCTTCGCTGCCCGCCATGGCGCTTTGAAGCTCGATCACTGTCTCCTGCTTTACGTAACTGCACTAGTTCATTGCTCCACTTGCCAGGCGGATGAGAAGAAAGGCGAAAAATGCACTATCAGACGCGGATTCTTCTCTCTATCTCCACTTCCCAAGGACGATGACGACGGCACTGACAGCTAAACATTGGAGACTTTTCCCCATCACTCTGCGCGCCGCCAGCGCCACCTGGCAGCATCACTCCCGCCAAAATCGCAAGAGCTCAAAAGAGAAACTCTCCCAACATTTTTCAACACAATAATTCCTTTATTTCCTCCCCCAAAAAAAACATCATCTAACATTTTTCTTCACTCTCAAAGAATATCTATATAGACTCTCACTTGGCACCAAAGGTTTGCCTGTGAAGAGATTGGAAGAAGAGAAAAGACAGGGCGTTACAAAATAATTCATCCCGCGATGATGAAGAGCTTTGACAAAACTTTGTAAAAAAGAACTTATCAAAAGTGGTGTGAAATACAAAAGCTGGTGCTCCTTAACACTAGAGATTTTAGTTTACACACGGACAAAGAGTGCAAGACTTGTTTTTTTTTTGGTGAAATAAACAAACACACGCATTATCCAGTCTGGCATTTTGGAATCTTCTTGTTAAATGTTTGATTTTATGAACACAGGCTTAATTGGTAGGTTCTAGAGTTTGGCATAGTTCGAGCGAGGCCTAAAATAAAAAGGATGTGTAGTAGAATAAATTTCAAATAATCATAAACCAATTTAAATATTGTAGGAGGGAAAATTTGGGACTTTACTTACCTGGTGAAAAAAAAGTGTTTGTGTAAATGAAAAATAATGCGAGGAGAGAAACCAAAAATTAGGATATATTTTTGAAAACAGGACCAAAAAGAACAACTACAAAAATATACTTTTTAATAACAATTTGGGAATATTTCTGGCATTTTATTAACAAATAGACTACAATTCTTTTAAAAAATAACATTTACTTTTTGGGATTAGTAATAAAAAAAGGGAAAAAACCGGTGAGAACTACAAGACTAGTTTTAGTATAAAGAATAATAATAATATATAAGATTTGGCTAAACAATATATTGGGCAAGACAATAGTAATAATAATAATTCTTTGATGTTTTGTAAAACGAGATAAAAACTTTTCGAATAGGTGAGAAATCAATTTAATAACGTGTGTGTAAAATTAAGATTATACAAGGAATATACTTAAACTTGTGGAAGGTTTCCGGGAACTACAATCTTAAGTACAGAAACGAGAGTTTTATGGCATTCCTTGGGCACTGGGCTGTGGATTTGGAGGGACAGAAAACGAGACAAGATGGCACAGAAAAGCGCAAACTTACATGTGCTCCGGATGTGTGCGTATCGCATCGATCACGTCCTTTGGCTTCAGCACACCCGTGCAAATCCGATGGATGGCCGTGAAGAGAGGAAATCTGACGAAGAAAGAAGCGCTCGTGTGAGCAGGAATTGCAGGAATGTGGGAGAAATATTCGCACTCACTTGTCCTCCATTCCCTTATTCTTCAGCATGAAGTTCACCTCTTCAGCCGTGATGGGACCCTGTAGCTTCTGTCCATTCAGCATCTCATCCTCCAGCTCCTTGATGCTCTTCCCGGACGTCACGAAGGCCTCGGAGACCTTCCTGTTGCGCCCACCGTAGCACGTGGTGATCAGATCCGCCACGCCGCAGCTCTCGAAGAAGGTGGACAATTTGGCGCCGGGATAGAAGACTTCCACAAACTTAATCATCTCCATGAGACCCAGACGAATGATGGCCGCTTTGGTGTTGTCACCCAATTTCAGGCCATCCACAAAACCTGCGCCACACGCCACGATGTTCTGCAAAAATGCATGATTTCGGGTGAAAGTGTTTGATAAAACTTCCTGCTCCGCAAGGGAAATGGAGCGGATATGAATATTTGATGGAGAAATTGCGACATTCAGAGATGGCAGCGAAGTCATCGCAGTCTTACATAAATTGAGCCCGCCAATTGACTCCCAAATGCAATTCACGCGCGAAAAAGCTCATTCATTTTAATTAATCGCACACCGCGCGACTTTTCCTGCGTTTCACTCGATGAGGTGGGAAAAATTATATTACCTTGAGAGCACCGCAAATCTCCACGGCGTCCTCATCATCCACCACCACGACACGGAAGTAGTCCGTCTGGATGATGTCCCGCAGAACGGGGGCGATTTTGATGTCCTTGCAGCCAATTGTGGTCTCGCAGAACTTCTCGTCCGCCACCTCGTTGGCCAGATTGGCGCCCATCAGCACGGCGCACGGGATGTTAAGGTGACGCGTGACGATGTGCGAGATCAGCGCAATGCCGCCGCCCTCGGCCACGTCGAAGCCCTTGATCAGTGACAATCCCACGGCGGTGGACTTGATCTTGCCCAGCATCTGGCCGGCCAGACCGCGGATGAACTGGTGGGGAATCACGAAGATCAGGATGTCGGCATCCTTGGACGCCTCGACGACGTCAGGAACGGCGACCTGACATTGATAAGAAGAGAGTTTAATGAGAAAATCTAGTCTAGATTGATTATTTTTTCGCCTCTCGTCGATTGCCTAATTCTTTTATCAAGTGTTCGACGATCTTTGACTGTAATGAAGCGTGGTATCAAGACACTTTGAGATTAGGTATTTCACAAATGCGCAAACAGCAATTGAGAAGTCAATTTAACCTCATATTTACTGTGTGAATGAGAAATTATCAAGCAAATACAGTGAAAAATTCATATCAATTCTCAATTTTCTCTTGAATCTCAGGTAAAACTCAGTGATAAAAATCTCTGAAGAAACAATTCCCAATGTTTGCAAGTTATTTTGGCTATGCAAATAGCTGAAATTATTCATTTTCGTGCTTCTGCTACATCACTTTGCCGTGCCATTTATATTTTATTATACAATTTGCGGCCGTGATACGACATTTTATACCTTCCACAGGCAGCATTTCATTTACAGTTTAACAGCCTTTAACTTGAATGTCTCAGCATCGCGCGCGCGGACAATTGATTTACGCGTGAGAACCACAAAACACCGTGCATTAATTACACACTCTCTCGACCATCCTTGATCTTGTGCACTTTCAACTCTGCTCCCACGTGATCACGGGGACACTTATTAATAGAGATAAAGAGAGATTTTTTGAGAGGCAGTGTTCTTACATAACGCCGTGCGACTTGAGAGTCATTCTCAACGTCTCAACCGGGAAGAGTGATTGATCCCTCATCGACTGACCCACATTTCAGACACACTTCCGACGAGGCTTTCCCGGATTTTTCTCCTTGCGCCGCACTTGGAAGGCGGCCAGAGGATGAGCAAAACTCACCACATTGGGCGGCAATTTGTGACCAGGCAGATATTTCACGTTCTCGTGCTGCTCATTAATGATCTCCGTGAGCTTCTTGCCGTCGATCATCTCCTCGTACACGTACATCGTGACCCTGTCGCAGAAGTTTGGCAATTTGGCTGCATTGTGGCCCACAATTTTGGCAATGGCTGATCCCCTGGAAAACACACAAAACACGAGGAAAAGTGGTGAGATTGCATAACACACATACGGCTAATTGCTTTTCCCTCTGCACCGTGGAAATTGCACGCAAATGAGATGAATGCCGAGGTGAGAGAGTGTCAATAAGCGTGGCTATTCTTAGCGGAAAAAATACCGTGAAGAGTGTGTGGAAAATGATTTCTCCTGACCGTGACCTTTAAACGACACTCTCTGTCTTTCTCCCAGAGAAATTCCCACAAGCCGCCAAGCATTGACCTTTGGTACCATGAGATCGTGTCTGCCCACATCCGATAGACGGAGTGGGTGGGGTTGTGGGATTTGTGGAATTTTCCAGGAGGAACACTCACCAGTTTCCCGATCCCACCACGCAAACCTTGATGTTATCTGCTGGCAAAGACATTTTCTGTGCGACTCTCACGACTCGTCTGGGTGCTGCTGAGGCGTCCGGATGGTGACAACAGGCGTCGAAACACTTGGAAAATCAACTGACTGGCGGACTGCGAGCGGAGGATTCGTGCTGGGCTGACCAGCTTCGGATGACACTTCGCCATAAAATGCAATCTGCCATAAATGGGCGCTGAGACCGCCATGACGGCGCGCGGGAAAAAGTCTCCAAAGCACACTCGTGCGATCAAGAATAGACACACAAACGGAAGTTAATGGCAATAAATCCTCTCTATTTCTCTTATCAATAATATCTGTGAGGTTTTTTCATTAACACTGAGTGCGGCGAATCTAGAAGCAACGTCACAAGGCCTGAAGCTAGGAAGAGTCATCTTGTGGTGCTTCTCAATATCACGTCTGCTGCAGCTTCTTCATCAGCTCCTCCTTGAACAGGGCGTAGTAGTTGTGGGTGTCATCCTCGAAGTACCTCTTGAGCTCCAACATAAACTGGTGCAAGGTCTCCTCCAGCTTTTGCGGATGCGTGTGATCCTGGATGGCGTTGTAGAGAATCCTTTCCCACGCGTAAGTCGGACAGTTTTCGTACAGCTGAAAGTTCATCTCGAAGTCCAGTCGATCGCTGGCCGGCTTCCTGAGGAGTTGTTCGCTGATCTCGTAGCAAGTGAGGTATTTCAGGCACATCTGTTCGCGTCTCGTCGGTGGATGGAATTTATCCATGTAAGCTCTGAACAATTGCTTAACGCGGGAATCAGTAAAGGCGAGATCTGGATGACCCATCACAATGTCCTGGATCTCCTTCTCAGTGAGATCAGAACAGTCACAGAAGCACCGGAAAACTCTGGCTGTGACACCCTGCGAAGGAGAAACACCAACAACGAGGTTATCAATCCAGTTAAGCGGCTCACGATAAGTCAATTTTCCCATTAAACTCATACTCACTTGAGCCATGATGAAGTCTTGAGGAAATTAGTACCATCTGCCGCCGATTAACCGTATAAGAATTGAAAACACACTCAACAAAACACCTGAAATTGGAGAAAGAAAGAGTTGAAAAAGAGCGTCCAAAAAAAAGGTGTAATTCAACTACGCAATGAGAAGTAGAAGAACAGCTGTAATTCTTTAATTGCAATTCTAACGAAATTCCAGGCCATTGATATGCAAATAAGGGAACGTCTTGGATTGATGTGAGTTTGTTGACAAGCTTTCCGGCATTGTTTGATTCACTCAAACACCTCTTCAAAAGTACTCTTCAGCGTTATCTTGAGTGTGACGCATGAGAAGATTCAATTTTTCATCAAAATTTTTGCAAATTTTCATCAAAAGCTTGCAAATTAAGGGATTTTAAAGCATTAAAATCTCGTCCACGTGCTTCTTGTCCTTCACGCAGAGGGGCCGAAAAAAAAGAATTTGACTAAAAGCGTGACTCAATTTGGCATTCTTCGCATGAAAACACACACAAAGGCTCCGGTTTTCTTAGGGAGTGTTTCATTCGCAGTGTTCACCAAGAGAAGATTCTAACGATCTCATTCTTCATTCTTGTGAACAAATACTATTGTTGTCGCGGATTGTTCACCTACCAATTTTCTCACAGCATTCAACATTCAGCCACAAAACTCTCTTGCGGTACCACCGAAACTTCAATGGACGCTTTTTAATGTGTAAAAATACTAAAAATACTCCTATTTCAGAGCAAAATGGAAAAAAAGGAACATTCACTGCCGCACACTCGGACTATTAATAGCGCGGAAAAGCGTGCGTGAGGGAAGAGAATCCGCAGTCATGTCTGCGCCCCACAGAATGGATTTGAAGAGTGTCCTTGCATGGGCACAAATCGCACTGAACTAATTATTATCACTTAGCACAGCCGATGAATAATCGATCTGTTATCACACGACACGGATGAGCACAGTTTGTTTGTCCAACTCCGTCACTCTCTGGGCCGGGGCAGTGCGACAACTCCCGCTGGAGTAACTGAACGACTGATGATTTGCCTCCCTTGAGATTCTCTCTCTCTGGCGCGCCTGGGAAGAGAATTTGCCACACAGCTGCACAGGAATGCGTGGAAATCGCCGAAATGCAGACAAAATGACAGGAGAATTTTTGGGAATGTGCTAAACGTGCTCAAGACAGGGTCGAATTGGGAGGAAAAGAAGCCCTCGATTGAATTTTAACACTGGCAAATTTGGTCAATTCTTAACGATTTTATCGGAAAACTTAATTATATGATTTTCTGGACTTGATTGAGTCTCTAGACACGATTTCTATGCTCAGAAAACGCATTTTTCTCCTCTAAATTGTTCCAGCGAACCCAAAAGCTAAAGCTAAAGCAGATATTTTAGCTCAAAAGTACTGAACTAGCGGACGATGAAGGAAACTGTAGAGCCGTTACAACTACAGCAATTTAAAGCAGAATATTAAGCCAATTTCTACGCTTCAGTTAGTTAAATTCCATTAATTTTACATCCACCAAATGGCCAAAATCTTGAATGCTAGAAATGATTTTAGAGAATTATCTGACGAAAAGCCCGTTTTTTCCCTAGAAGTGGAACCCTTCGACAGTGTTCCTCAATGCATCCCTGTCTTTTTTCCTTCACTCAGTAACGGTAAGATGTCTCTAAGTGTTTCTCCTCGCGCTATACACTTCGCCAGCGATGTTTTGCACCGAAATTGAATGTAGTGCAATTGCTTGGCAATGGGCTTTTGGAGGTGTGTGTCTTCTGTCTGTGATGGCACGAAACTGGACATTGATCGCTTTCACGTTATTAGTTCGCTGATCTGTCAGTGGCTCCCGTCACAACCAGGTAGATAGTTGGTGGTCGTTGGCAGCTCCAGATGCACGGGCGACGGGCCCGGACGCACTGTTGAAGCTCTCCTCTGGCCACCAAGATCTGCCAACTTTCAAAATTGTTGGTTAGCTCTTACTTACTTAGCTTAGCTTCGGATTCAATTCACTTACTTGTTCAGAACGCTTCCATGAATAGGGCACTTGTCGAGCGAGTTGGCCCATTTTTTGCACACTTTTACACACTCTAATTGTGCATTAAAGCATTCATATTGCTCTGTTTCAATTGTTTCGTACAGCTTCCAGTTATTTTTATTGGGATTTATTGACGAATTGATTGGCAAAAAGTGTCGAAAGTCGATTTTTAATTGTTCATAGCCCGCAAAAATCAACATTTCTTATCAATGTTGCACGAAATTCAACTCAATTCCCACTAAATATCGACCTAGAGCAAAATATGACGAATAAATTATGAAAAGTTAACTTTTCAAAGGAGGAAAAAAGGCGCGACAAAAAGAATTTCTTTTTATATCATTTTCTCTCTGCCAAACCAATTTTTAATGACTATTTCTAGTGTAATTTTGTCCAAAAGAGAGGAAAAAAACGTGAAAAAGAAAGTTTCCTTCGAGCCGGATTTGAACCAGCGACCTATGGATTTCCACATATGCCTTTCGGCCGTTCTACAGTCCACCGCTCTACCAACTGAGCTATCGAAGGTATACTCGCAATTTTTCCGATTTTCCACAAGAGCTCAGCAGACCCACTTTCGCAATCAAAGCACTCCAGTTCGCAAAAATCCCTCTTTTTTCACTTTCATCATGCATTCTTTTGACTCTTGTAGCGTTGTCGCTGGTCCTTGATCTGCTTCCGCCACTGCAACCACTTGGCAATGAGGGGATTCTCCGGATTGCCCTTCTCCTCCAGCTGTCTGTAGTATCCCTCGCGGATGATCTTGAACGCCGCCAGATTCCTGTACGGCAGCTTCGTCACCGGATCCAGATACTTGGCGGGCAGATGTGTGATGGGACAGATGCGACTCCTGTGCTCCTGGCGCTTCCGCCTCAGCTGCGGAAAGTACGACTCGAACACCTTGTTGTCCAGATCGTTCTCGAAGGTGACAAAAGTCCTCTCGACACGCGGACCAGTCTTGGCGGCCGCTCTGGAGTTGGCTGTCTTGCGTTTCGTCTTGAATTTCAGCGACATATCAGTCTCACCCGCATCCTCCTCGGTCTTTATTGCCGCGGCATCCATGGGAGCCGGCGTGAGCTCCTCAATCAGCGGCATTGACATGGAATGATAGCGGATCATCGGTCCAGTGAAGGCTCTCTTCGTCGGACGCGTTTTCTTCTTCTCCAGCTCCATTTTCTGGTACTTCTCTGCAAACACCCAACAGCATTACTCCTCCTGTGGCCAGGAATATCTCCAAATACTCACCCAGAGACTTGATATTCTCCTTCTCCGTGTCTAGAGCTTCCTCCAAGAGTTCCTCCTGCGTTGGAATCCACTCCTCTGTCTTCACCACCGCCTTCTTGTGCTTCTTCGCCTCGTTCAGCTGCTTCAGACGGTGCTGTGTGGCAGCTGTCTTCAGAGCGGTGGATTTCCTGAAGGATTTCCGCCCAGAATCAATCACCGTGAACTTTGGGTGTCGATTTGGGGGCATTTTAGGCTTCGGCACCTTCTTCGGTGACGCTTTTGCCGGAGATTTCTTGTCTTTCGCCACCGCGGGCTTCTTCACTGGCTCCTTGTACGCCTTCGTGACCACACCGCGCCGCTTCCGAGTCTTCTTCTCCTCCTCCTCATCCGACACCGGCTCATCGTTCTCGTCAATGCTGAAATCCGAGTCCACGACGTCCTCCTCCTCGTCCCTCTGCCTGAGATTCAAAAATTACAATAGCACTCGTCTTTAGAGGCGGACTTTGGGAATACTAACTCATAATCCTTGTCGTCTTCAGCTTCCTGAAAACCTCCGTAGGAAGTCTTGTAGAAGTCATCCTCTTCCTCATCGTCCAGGAGTCTAGCAATGCGGTTCCCAGCATTGCTGCGACGCTCTCTATTCGCAGCCATTCTAGGTTTTTCACTCAATTACAGGGAAATCCACGGAAATTATAAATTTCTTGTTGTTTGTTTGCAGCGCGAACGCGCTGTCAATTGATACACTGTAAAATTCTGCTTTTGCCACATGTGAGCCATCTACCGGGATTTATTGCAGTCACTGCAACCGGCTGCAGAAGAAAATTCCACTTTTCTCCTCATTTTCATGTATAAATTCATCAATTTTCGTCTATAGAGATACTTTAGAAGCTATTCTGAACAATTTGGCGCTGAAATTATATTTTTATGAGCTTGAATTATCATTTTGTCAGCACGGCGGCTCGCTGAATTGGCCCAGCGCAGTATCCTGGCATGCGGTGTCAGCGACACGTTCAATTTTCTCTGGAATTTGTTTTCTGTTGAAAATACCTCAAATTGTGATTATTTACCCGTTAATACCTATTCCCTGAGATTATTAGTTTGTCCAGGAAGTTGAAAACATGCCGCCGAAGAAGCCTCAGCCGACCTCCAGCAAGAAAGCCGAGCAGAAGAAGAAGGAGAAAGTGATTGAGGTTAGACTTGTTGTTCTTGATGTCCCAGTTATTTTCCATTTTCCCAGACGCGAGATAAACATTATTTCGTCCCGTTGGCAGGACAAGACGTTTGGGCTGAAGAACAAGAAGGGAACGAAGCAGCAGAAATTCATTGCGCAAGTGGAGAAGCAGGTGAAGAGTGGCGGTCAACATCCGGTGAATGCTCTCAATCCAAATGCCAAGAAGGAGGAGAAGGAGCGGAAGCTGAAGGAGCAGAAGGAGATGCAGATGATCTTCAAGCCCGTCCAGACGCAGAAGATTGAGAAGGGCACCGATCCCAAGTCCGTGGTGTGCGTCTTCTTCAAGCAGGGCCAATGCAGCAAGGGAGACAAGTGCAAGTTCTCCCACGATCTCTCCGTGGAGCGGAAGGTGGAGAAGCGGTCGCTGTACGTGGACATGCGGGATGATGGCACAGAGGCGGACTCCATGGAGAACTGGAATGACGAGAAGCTGAAGGAAGTGGTGGACAAGAAGCACGGCAAGGAGAAGAGAATGCCCACAACTGATATTGTGAGTCTTTCCGGGGCGTTTCTTGGCCTCTTTGACACTCTGACTGTTGCAGATCTGCAAATACTTCCTGGACGCAGTGGAGAAATACAAATACGGATGGTTCTGGGAGTGTCCGAACGGAGAGAAATGCATCTATCGCCATGCACTGCCACAAGGATACGTTCTCAAGCGAGACAAGAAGATCCTGGACCAGAAGAAGCCTGAGATTTCCCTAGTAGACCTAATCGAGAGCGAACGAGCAGCTCTTGGACCTAATCAAGTGAGTCTTGAAGCATTCTTCCCTCAACAGCTAAACAAACACAAACTTTGTTGCCAATTTCTTGCAGACAAGAGTCACTCTTGAGAGCTTTATTGCGTGGAAAAAGCGGAAAATTGAGGAGAAGAAGGAGAAAATCCGAAGGGATGAAGAGAAGAAGCGCAATGAATTTAAATCCGGCAAGAATATTGGACTCTCTGGAAGGGAAATGTTTAGGTATGATTGAGGAATTTATCGCAAAAGCTGGATGTTTAATCACCTGTCTTTCTTCACAGCTTCAATCCTGAACTCGTCAACGATGGCCAGATGGAGGATGGCGATGAAGCCTTCGACAGCTACGAGCGTGACGAGGAGGAGAGCGAGACAGGCATTGAGTATCACGAGATTGACTTCACCAGCATCACTCTTGGGGAAGTGGACGGAACGGGAACAGTGGCGACGGAGGATCGCTTCCATCGACCTCAGGGCGAGAATGAGGATGAGGATGAGGAGGAAGCGTCTGACGACACACCCACGGAAGGAGCTGAAGGCATGGAAGCCTCTGATGCTGCACCTATAAATGAAAATCTCTTCCTCAGCGAAGATCTCGAAGGTCTGGATGACGAATTGAATGAACTGGACATTGACAAGTGATTAGAGGATTTAATTGAGCATCGAGAGAACTAATAAAGAGTCACTAACGCATCGCAAGACTGTCCGTGAAGCCTTCAGAACTTGCCCTGAAGCCAAAGACTGGGATTCTCGATGGTGATACGATCGATCTGCTCGAGCGACAATCCGCGCACGTTGAGCCTGGGCAGGATGTTGTTCAGGATGTGGGAGAATCCATGACCGCCGAAGGAAATCTGTGAAGTATTTCTATTGAGGTAAAAAGTGCAAAATTGAAGGAATTCAAGTCTTACCAAACGATGCTTTGTGTGAATATCTTGGGACATCAACACCTGATTTTCACGTCCTTCAGCGACCAGCTTAAGGACTTTGGCGATTCTCTGGGCATCAGAGATCATGTCGACGTGCGGATCATATTGGAAGTAAGAACACTCGAAGCCGAAGAAGTCAAACTGCGTGAAAATCCCCAGAGTTGCAAATTCCAACAGTTTCTCATCAGAAACGAACGCAACTGAACAATGGAGTTTGGTAAGTATTATTCTCCTTTTTTGTGGTATTCAGTTGATACTTACGATCCAGATGAGACATAACGCATTTGGAGGCTTTTCCTCCTGCCTCAAGATACAAGCGGACAATCTCGAAGGGAGCTTCTTCGTTGAATCCCGGATGGAAGGAAACTCCGCATCCGATGACTTCTTGAATCTCTCCAGTTGCCTTGATGGCTTTCTTCTCGAAATCTGCAAACAAAAATAGACCGTTGAACTTCTTAATTATGCTTCTAATCGTTATCTTTCTCACTCATCTTATCAGTGTTAAGATAACAATAGAGTTTAGATTTGAAGGGATTTTGAGCAGAAGTCTGTTCTCACCGTGAAGAGGCCATCCGCTGGCCACTTCGCCAATGAAGCCACACTTGATATTAAGGCTGGGATTGACGTCCACGCCGGAGATGATTTCCTTGGAGTACAAATCCGTCATCTGCTCCACAGTCATCGCCAGCGTTGAGGCAGTTTGCTTAGCCGCCAAATAATGTCCAGTTCCTGCCACAATCTTCACTCCAGTCGCCACGGAAATGTCGTGCATCCGTCCAAGATTGCGGCCAAGCCCATGACAAGTATTATCCACGATTGTTCCGCCTCCGAAGCGCTTGAAAGCCTCCAAATCCTTCCTGACTGCCAGCTGTGCGTCCTCATCGTGAAGGGAAAGATTGTAGATGTTGGAGTAAGGATACTGACGAATGTATCCAAGGTTCTCAAGCGTGATCCTTGGCTGCTTAAGGATGCTGGCCAGTGGCTGAGGCGGATCGCAGTGGAAGCTATTCAAATCCAACGAAAGGTGTTCATGAGTCAATGTGTAGCCCAGCGAATTGCTCGCCACGGCGCCAGTCACTGAATCCAAAGAACAGAAGAGATCGTTGAATCCGCAGAATCAATTCACAAGAGGAGAATTTGCTGGTCACTTACCTGTCTGGACTTGAGCCATAATTCCTCTGTCTATTTAACTTTCCAATTGAGAAGAAGAAAACACTGAGAAAATATCGCTATCAGCGCAAGAGTGCAAAAGAACAGAAGTCACCTGATCCGAACTGCGTCGATCGGCTTCAGTGGTTCCCAAAAGTGTGGGCGAAATTTAGAGCAAATGAATGAAAGAATGCACACTTTATCATTTTGTTAATAGAAAAATCCCGCCCTGTTTTGCGAGCTGGAGTTTTTGGGACCGAAGCTTAATTGTGTCACAGTAAATTGATGCTGAATGTGTGAGTAAATCGAGCAATTATTCTATTCGCCATTCAACTTATCACTGAGTGAATATTCAAACTCCTGATTAATTGCGGTGGAATTGATATTGGGCGATTTTTGGTGGCTCTTTCTGACCCTGATGTTGTTCTCTGTGGATTTTTAATGCACAAATGAATGGGAAAGTCTGATAACCTATCAAGAATATTCTTCCTATTGGGTGAACTGGACAATGATAATTAAATGCTTCACAGAAGAGGCTTTAATTGAGCATCGAGAGAACTAATAAAAAATCACTAAAGCATCGCAAGATTTCTCCGGGAAGCCTTCAGAACTTGCCCTGAAGCCAAAGACTGGGATTCTCGATGGTGATGCGATCGATCTGCTCGAGCGACAATCCGCGCACGTTGAGCCTTGGCAGGATATTGTTCAGGATGTGGGAGAATCCGTGACCGCCGAATGGAGCCTGCGAGATAATAATTCAATGAGTTGAAGGATGACAAGATTAGGAGGAATTCAAGTGTTACCAATCGATGCTTTGTGTGAATATCGTGAGACATCAAGACTTGACTTTCACGTCCTTCAGCGACCAGTTTGAGGACTTTGGCGATCCTCTGGCCATCAGAAGGCATATCAGTTTGCGGATTCAACTGATAGTAAGAGCATTCCGTGCCGAAGAGGTCGAATTGTGTGAAAGTTCCCAAAGTTGCGAATTCCAACAGTTTCTCATCACAGAGAAGTGTTCCTGGGAAGCAAAAAGAAGTCAGCGAAATTCCTCTCCTTGCAGTATTTGATACTCACTGTCCAGATGAGACATGACGCATTTGGAGGCTTTTCCTCCTGCCTCAAGATACAAGCGGATGATCTCAAATGGAGCTTCTTCATTCCTTCCTGGATGGAAAGAAACTCCGCATCCGATAACCTCTTGAATCTCTCCAGTTGCCTTGATGGCTTTCTTCTCAAAATCTAAAATAGAAGTAGTTTAAGTTCAGGGATTTTCTTTTCAATGCATAAACAGCGCTAATCGCTGTCTTCCTTATCAGTGGTCAGATAAACAGACATCGAATCCAGCGAACAATAGAAAATCTGTTAGAAACTTTGTTCTCACCATGAAGAGGCCATCCGCTGCCCACTTCACCGATGAATCCACACTTGATGTTAAGATTAGGATTCACATCCACGCCGGAGATGATCTCCTTGGAGTACATGTCCGTCAGTTGCTCCACAGTCATCGCCAGAGTCGAGGCGCTCTGCATGGAGGCGACGTAGTGACCAGTTCCTGCAACAACCTTCACTCCAGTCGCCATGGAAATGTCGTGCATCAGCCCAAGATTGCGACTGAGTCCGTGGGAAGTGTTCTCCACGATCGTTCCGCCTCCGAAGCGCTTGAATGCTTCCACGTCCTTCTCAACAGCCAGTTTGGTGTCTTCGTCATTGAAGGACAGATTGTATGCGCTGGAGTAAGGATACTGGCGAACATATCCCACATTCTCAAGCGTGATCCTTGGCTGCTGAAGGATGCTGGCCAGTGGCTGCGGTGGATCGCAGTGGAAGTGCGTGAAATCCAACGCAAAGTGCTCATGGGTCAGGGTGTAGCCCAGCGAATTGCTCGCCACGGCGCCAGTCACTGAATTCAAAGCAGAGAAGAGATTTGAAAATAAGCTCAGCACAATTATCGAGCGGTCACTCACCCGTCTGGACTTGAGCCATTGTCTATTTAACTTTCCAATTGAGGAAAACACTGAAAATATCGTGATCAACACAAGAGAGTGGAAAAACAGGGCAGAAGTCACCTGATCTGGGCAGCGAGAATTTGAGCTTCAGTGGCTAAAGTGTGAGTGAAACTGGGAGAATGATAGAGATGAGAGAGAAACACCAGCTTTTATATGTGAAGAGAGTGGAAGAAAGGTGTAAATTTGTCTCACTATAAACAAAATTATTCAAATACATTGATAAGACGAAAGACGACAGACGGAATTGATAAAGATCAGCGAAGACACGCGACTACCGAGACTACCACAGCCGAGACACACGCTTGAGAGAGAAATTCTGGAGATTCTGGAGATTTAATATCAGTCCGCGGAGTAATTTCCATATCCATTCCACTTCTCGAGATCAATCCCAAACTGCGCCTTCATAATTCTCAGGCTATTGCCGACGATCTGTTTGTGGTAGACTTGCTTCATGGTGAAGCCCAGCTTCGTGTAGACATCCCGCAGATCATCGTCACACTCCCTGGTGACGCCCTCAACAGTCGAGAAGCGATTGTCCCGGCAGAAATCCAGCACATGAGCGATTAGAGCCTCTCCGAGGCTTGGAATGTGATTCTTGTGACTGAATCCGAAGCGATAGAGCCACGCTGAGTTGTGCAAATTCCTGTGATTCTTCATGCTGATGCTTGAGATGATCTGCAAGAGATCAGAGATTCTTCAAAATTCACCAGGAACTGCAAAAAGTCGATAAATTCCCACCTTTCGGCGCATCTTGGACACCTGTTGCTCATCTGGCGGGTCATTGAAGAAGATATCAAAGTCTCTCGGCTCGGAAATGCCATTGTAGTGCAGCTCAGCTAACCAGCATCGATTGGGCTTCATCTGAGAGAATATCTTTTGATCATAGCGCATCCAAAACCACCCCCAGAAACACTTACATTGGCGATTTCCATGGCTTTGTTGAAGAATGTTCCGTAGACCAAAAAGAAGAGGCCAATTATCACTCCCGGAACGGTGAGGAGACAGTAGAGAGGTGGAATGCCAAAGAAGATGAAGGCGATTGCCCAGCACAGAACGATCATCTGGAGGGTGATCTGTGTGTGGGAAAAATGCAGAGCGGGAAAATGAGGGTGGAAAATGTAAACAATGCCTTGTAACCTCACTTCCTTGAATATTGTCTCAACAAAAGCTTGACGAACGCCTGAGAGGATGAAATTCTTCACCAATTCCTCACACGTCACCTCATCCTGCTTCCTCATCTCGCGGATCAGGACAAAAGGTCGCATTTCCAGAGGAATTAGCCTGTTTTTATTTCACTTTTCCCAGAGATAAAGATTACAATGGACGAGTATCACGATATTGGTGGTAGATGGCGCTGAAGCTGTGCCGGGCTTTTCTGGTCCAGAGAATCAATTAAGAATTCATGCTTTCTCCACAACAAAAATGCATTTAAATGGACTATTGCTTGGTAACAGAAGTGGCGGAGGGGCGTCTAGAGGCCCTTGTTGAAGTACACCACCTTGCTGTCCGGCGAGACTTTCTTCACATTCTCCTGCACTTCCGGCTCCAGCTGATCCACCCGGATGCTGGCCTTCTGGCTGTACAGTGCGCAGCACAGGGGCGTGGCAAAGGTGAGACAGAAGCCACAGAAGAGCGTCTGGATGGGTGCATTGGCCCAGGGCAGGCGCCTGAAGACGCCCTTCTTCTCCAGGAATGTCGCCAGCATGGGCGTGAACACCATTCCGGGCATTGCCATACTTATTCTGCTCAACACCACCGCCGTGATGCCCTTCTGGGCGGCATTCTTCGACACTCCAACGCGATTGTTGTTGTCATCGTACAACTCCACGCCCTGCTGCAGCTCCTGCATCCTCATCATGGGGATGTTGATGCAATTGGCAGCCGCCACGGCGGCCAGCGGCACCAGACGCCCCACCAGTGGTGGCGCAGACTTGCACAGACGATTGAGGGAGAGAGCAGTGGCCAGGGCGCCACCCGTGGCCAGGCAGTAGGACGTGAACAGCTGATTGTTGCTGATTGGCGACGAGCCAGAGCGATTTGTGTAGTTCACCAGGGCATTGAACGACTGATTGAGCCACTGCCAGAAGACCACAGCCGGCGTGGACCTGTAGAAGGTCATCATACCTGAAATGCCAAAGCATCTCAAGTTAATCTAGAGGATCTGCGTGGCGACACAGGAGCAACTTACACCCAGTAATGAGCATATTCATGGGCACTTGGGCTGACATCCGCCCGATGATGATCATCTTCTCACCCGTTTCCGGATGAAAGGCAGAGTCGTAAATGTACTTTGCGCGCCAGACATCATTGATGCTCTTCGCCTCCACTGGCTTCTCAGCTCTTTGCCGATGAGATGAGATCAGGAGAATGTCAAAAAGGAAAGAAAAATATAATTAGATAAATGTGATAAAAGGAAAGTGAAAATTTGCATGTTTTGCGAAAATTGGAATTGATTAATCTCATTAATCTACTCAAGACTTTAATAAAGTGTGAAAGAAGCTCGAAAAGTTATAAAAAAGCAGGAAATCATGAGAGAAATATACTGAAATAAGACAGAAATCACAGAAATATAAGAAAAGTCATGAAAAAGTGCAAAAATCTTAAATAAAGAGCGTTTTTCACACTTCGTAAGCGCAATAAAATATTTACCGAGCCAAAGAGAGTGAAAAAAATCCGCAAATCAAAGAATTCTAGCAAATGTATTTAAGCAGTGATTGCTGTGATTGATCTGTAATATTGTTAGTGCGACATTGACCTCAAGGAGGCCATAAAGTAGAGATTGTGAACTTGGTCATTGACCCAATTGGCCAAGATGAGTGATCTCTTTGATAACAACTTATGCAATCCACAGCCGAAAGATACACAATTCATCTTATCGTAGTTTATGGCATTTATGGAGTCTCTCTTAGCAGACAGATAACTTCCGTCGCGTACTTGAGACTCTGGGAAACTCCTTCCCAAAACTTTCCATCATCAATTCCAAAGCTTTCGCACAGCATGCTAAGATTGTGCCGTGATTAGTGGAAGAGAGAGAGAGGCTGATTAGTTTGTGTGTGTTTTTACTTGTAGTCCTGGACAACTTTGGCCGCCCGATCGAGTTCACTGGTGGACACAAAGACGTTGAGGGGGTTTGTTAGAATGATAAAGTGTTTAGCTCGATTGAGGTACGTGCTCTGATCGTATCGCGGCTCATCGAGATTCACGCGCGGAAGTGAGGACATTTTCTCGGGCTTTCCTTGGGGGATATTCTGGAGATTGTGCGGAATGGAGGATTCGTGCTCTGGGGTTCCAAAACCACTGAAAAGAAGAGAATCCAATCAGTTTTCTCGCCAGTCCGTCGTTATCAATCGTCAGGATGAATCCTGGTGGATCGCTGATAAGACAAATGATGACTCTTTGACCCACTTTTGCCCAGCGCTGTTTCTCTCAAGTCTCTCTGCTGGGGAGCGGGTCAAAGTGCGCCGCTCAAGTGCTTCGCATACTTTCAACACTCGTGAAACTCAATGATTATTGTGTCCCGAAATATACAATTCAAATTATGTAATGGAACGCGAGCTTGTTTTTTCGTGTCTTCACTCTATTTTTTTGTCAATTGATAACGACGCACTTTTGTCTGGTGACTTTCATATGAATTCCTTCCCAGGCAATTTCACACACAGCAGAAGCAGCACAGAGTTGCTGTTTCCGGGGCCTCAAGTGACCTTTTCGCGTGTGTGCAGAGGAAATTTGCAATTTTCTCGTTGGTATTTTGCGTGGGCATGAAAAACTGGCTAAACAGGCTCTGGCAGGGATGAATTCTCATCCCTCTTCCAGGCCATCTACTCACCACCTGGCGCAGTCTACAAGATGGTGTTAAAGCTCGTGAGTTGCAGCACTGATCGCACTCCTCGATGATCGAGTAATCACTAGCCGTAGTGCTGAAATGTTATCACAAAATAATATTTTTCTCAGCCTCTCTAATTTTGTCTCCCGTCACACTCACACAAATGCACACGCGAGTACTGCGTCGGGACAATTCCGGGCGCGCGCGATGTCACATGGAATTTCTCCCCAATTCCAGCAGATGGCCACTGGTCAGCTGAGCGCAATTTGAATAAATAACAATCATTTATCAATATTTCACTGTTTTTATTCTTCGACTTCGTCAAAACAATATTTAATTCACATAAATGTAGTAGGATAATTAACTTCAAATATCAAAAAAATAAGGAACAAAGTACTTCAAGTAGTTAAGAGAAAATAAGTAGTAAATGAGTAACTCTGGGTAAATAATTCTTATAAAAATATCATTTAAATGTTGAATCACTTGGAGTGGGATTATTTTTTGTATGATCGCTCAATTCACTCGAGGATCACATTAGCATCACTGGAGGTTTGAGTGCTGGTGCCACTGTCGTTCGCCTCCTTGGCCTCGGACACCTGGAAGTTCTCCTCACTCTTCTGCTCTTCACACTGGCTGATGGACAACTCGGCAATCTCCTCAGTGATCACTTGAGCGTCACCACGAGCAATGGACATGGTGACAATCTCCTCAGTCAATTGCTGCATCTCACGCCGATCCATGCCATTCTCCACGAGCTCCTCCACAATCAACCTCGACTCCGATGTCATGTCTTGCGCCTCAGACTCATTCTCCGTCACATTCACCCCTGGCGCCACACCCAGAAACATCTCTTCGTCATTGATCAGGAGCCTGACAATAGCTGGCGAGGAAGACTTGTCCAGGAACTCCACTTGGAAGATCTGTTCGCCACCCTTAGCGAATTCCACAAATTTCTCGCGCTGCTCTTCACTCCAATCCCCAGAGAATTCCTTCACAAGCGAGCATCTGAGCGCCAGCGGTTCGATATCCTTCATCTCCTGTGACAATTCCCAGATATCACTGGTCACAGTCGTGTTTCCGTAGTCAATGAAGAACACCTTGTATTTGTCATCCTCCTCAGGCGCCTCAATCCGGGCACGATAGACACATTTGTCCGTGGAAAAAGTGGCAGCACAGATGTTATTCACCTCACGCGAAGCCACTGGAACACACTGAGGTTCCTCCAGATGATTCAGCACTCGATCCAGAGTGGCAGACTCTGCTGTGAGATGCAAATAGAAATCTCCGGGAGAATTGATGTGACTCACAGTGGCATTGACGAAGGGAATCGCCTCTTTATCCTCCTCAATCAGCATCTCCTCGATGTTCTTCTTGTCCAGAAACAGTCGCACACTTGTTGTCTCACCCGGAGCAACGGGAACAATCTCAAAGAGTGTCTCACCATCCTTGGCAATGTCCACAAACTTCTTCTGCGCCTCCTTCGACCACTGTCCACTCTTGGGTGCTGCCAAGGAGCACTTCCTGGACAAAATGGGCAACTCTGCAATGTGCTGTGGCAGATTCTTCACACAACTCGTGATGGCAGTGTTGCCAAAGTCCACAAAAATCACCTCCAATTCACCAGCTGTTGAGTGAAGCAATTTGGCGCGATACCAGCAATTATCTCCTGGATACAGAGCAGCATACATTCGTCCCTCCTCCAGACTCGTCGTCAGCGTTTCACCCTTTTTGCCCACCTCATCGAGAGACTCCGAAATAAACTCCAAATCCGCCGTGTCTTGCATGAGTTGCATGTAAAAGTCCGTCAAAGTGTTGAAGTGACACACAAATCCCTCCGAATTTGCCTCAATAATACTCATTGGCTCTGCGAGATTCTTCCTCAGCAGCATCTCTTCAGCACTCGAGCCACCCTTGGAGAACAGATGCACGTAAGCAAGTCCAATCTCTTCAGATATCTTTGCATACTTCACCGGATGATCCATGAAGAGATTCTGCATGACATCAATTGCCACCTGACTCCAGTCATCCTGGTGTTCCTTGGGAATCAGAGGGAGAGCACAATGCACAGCGTACGGCTTAATTGTGGCGAAAGCATCGGAAATCTCCTTTAGTGAAGATTTATCAGTGATTACATCCATATTCCCATAATCAATGTACTGAACAGTCGTCATGTCATCCGTGGAATCGAGAATCTTTGCTCTGTACCACAAGTCATCCATTGAGTACTTGCCCAGACACAATTTTCCCACTTCCGTGTCCTCCAGCGGTGGCAGAGACTCACCGACAATCTGCATGGACTCCTGCAGCTTCTCAATCTCCTCCACATCAGCTGCGTTCTGCAAGAAGAAGCTTTTGGGATTGACAATGTGCGTGACAAATGCCGAAATGCTGTCCTTTGACGTGTCAAGCATCTGAATATCACTCCTCTTGTCCATCTCACGACAAAACTCATCCGTGTCCATCATCTTGGCCATTCCCTTCTTCTCCAACTCCTGCGCCACACTGCATCCATTGACCTGCAAGTCAGCTATACACTCGCCTCTGTACTTCCTCAGAATCGTAATTGTCGGCATCACATTGACAATCATTCTGCCCAACTCATTGTCAGCCACCTCTGGCGAACTGCCCTCCATCGGGACGAGAGGCAGGAAGATTCTGGTCGCATAACCGCTGTCTTGTGAGAAATAGCCCGTGAGATTCCTCAAATTGTTCATCTTCACCACTTCCGTGTTGCCATAATCAATGTACTTCACCGTCACATCATCACCACTGATCTTCAACACTTCGCCACGATACCAATTGGAATCGCCGGACTTCACGGCGTACATCTTCTTGGGCGCCACATCGAAGGAATAGTGGGAACTGGAGACGTCAGACTCATAGTGGCTGTACATCTCGTTGATGAGTTGCGTCAGGAGATTGGCAAATTGACTCTTCTGCACGTGAATCACATTCAAGGACTCCACAAAAGCCACCATCACTGTGAAGGTGTTCTCAAAGACAGCCGTTGGACAGATGAGTGGCGGCTCCTCGAGGAATGATCGCGAGAGGATCTTCAGTTGGAGACTGTGACAAGGAAAAGAAATTATTAGCAAAGCCATATTGAAAAGCAGTACAGAAAAAACACTCACATATCATTCGTTCCAACGTCCATCACGTGAATCTTGCAGAATGAGCCATCGAGTCTCTTCAGCTGCTCCAGAGCATTGTCCACGAGGACTTTTGCGTAGTTCATGTCGTAATATGTGGCCGAAAGGACAGTGTTGGAGTGCTCAAAGGACACCTGAAACTTCTCCAGACTCTCCACATTCATGATCTTCACGCGAATTGTCTGGCCAATGAGCAGCTTGGCATTCACCTTCACATTATCAAATAGCATTGTCGTCTCCTCCTCATCTTTGGGCATTTTCACCAGTCCATCCGCCACCAGAGCGTTCAGCAAGTCTCCTCGCTTCGCATTCACACTCACCAGATGAACGCCATTTACCAGTTCGTTGAATTTACACGTGATCTTCATTGTGTCATTCACATAATTGCTTATCTGTGGTGAAATATCCTGTTGCTCAAAGTTCAGCGGCACATTATTGGCCAGAGAGCATCTAATGGCCATGCTGGGCAACTTCATGAAGCGCTCCATAATTGGCCACATGAGATCCGGCGTCACAACGCCACGATTTCCCCGATCGACAAATAGCACCTTGTATTTGTTCAACTTCCTGTTGTAATCATACACTTTGGCACGATAAAGCACCTCATCTCGACTATGTCGCGCAATCACGCACCACCCATTCTCATAGCGAGTGCTGCCGATGGGCCTCTTGCCCACATACTCCTCCTGAATCTCCCTCATCATAGCCTCATATTCATCACGCTGCGCCGTGAGCTGGACGTAAAACTCCTCCGGATCCATCCAATACGTGAAGACCACATCGAAATCCACATCAAAAGTCACTTCGTTCGCTTTGTAATCAGCACTCGAGAGCGAAATACTATCCACAGTCTTTGATTCATGAGCTGAGCTCACATTCCAGTCTTTTTCTGTCGATCTGCAGAGGAGAGAGAGAGCAAAAGAACACAATTGTTGATTAGAGAGAAAACATCACATTTCAGGCCAAAAGATCTTACTCAGCGTGATTATTCGCTTGATACGCTCTCGGTGAGGACTCTTTGGCGCCTTTCACATTCTTCCGAACGCCGCCACGGTCAATGTTGCGCTCAATCCCGCGATCATTGTTGCGATCACTTCCACGATCGTAAGCCTTTCCGTCTCTTGGTGCATTGTCGCGTCGCTCGAAACTGCCATTTAGCAATAAAAAATATCAATTTCTCTGCACAATAATCAATAATGTAAAAATCATAACCGCCAAATGGAAATATAAAAAACATTAAGCATTCGATGAACAGAAACCATGAAATGAGAAAAATAATGTACAGTAAAAGATGCTTTTCCATGCACCAACAAACATCCCGATCTTTGTTCCCAAGTGCAAAAATAATATATATATATTATGATAAGTTTGAGCAATTTGTGCAATTGATGGTAAAATTAATTAAATTATACTGCAATTTATCACACCTCATTGTGATTCTCAACCACGATAACGGAACAACAATAAAGTGCACACATTTTGCACATGATGAAGAAGATGAAGAAATATTGAGTGCTTCTTCTTCAATCGAGCATCTTTTTTCACGATCTTCACAATCATTGAACGGAATAAAGAAATGCAGATGAATTTCATTGGGCAAAATGCGGTAAATTGTGATAATTGAAAGGCATATAAAGAGTCTATCAATTTCCTTCAACACACATCAAAAACACACCCACAAAGAGTCGCTCATGAGCAATGATTTGCCGATTTAAAAGCTGCTGAGCTAAAGGAAAAATTCTTGTGATCATGGGTGGATTTTTTAATTGTTTTGCCACGCGATAAAAATAGATTTTTCTTGTCTCAATTGCTTCTTGCCAGTTATAAATCATCAAACACCACTTCTTGCCGTGAATATTTGACCGTGCTCTGTATAAAAGATGTTTATTTGAAATTTGTGCGAAAGAGAAGCAAAATCATTTGCAATTCTATCCACACACGAAGGTGGAAATAATTCCAATTGAATTATTATCAAAGAAATTTGCAAGAGAAAATGCCACGCATTGAGATTCCTTCTGAGGTGTGTTTGTGGACAAATCATCAATCCATAGAGAGACATATAAAAGTGTTGTGCAACGTATAATTTTAAGCGTAATTGTGAATCTAACGTCTATTTTGGTAATTTCTTTCTGTTTTTTTTACCCTTTCGTCTTGCTGTTTTTCGCAAAACGCTGATTGGTTTTGCTGGTGGAAAAGGCAGGATTATGCCTATATGTATAGAAATTAATTGCACATCATTATAAGTAAAAGGATTTCTCTGGGTGAATGAAGAGCAAAAAAAACCGTCATGATTCTAGAAATGTAAGGAAGAAAAACTCACCCTTTGGTATTGTCAGCAAATGCCGGAAGTCCAGCATTCACACGTCTTGGCTTCTCCATCAAATTGACGCTGTTGTTATTATTATTCCTCTTGTCACCTTGATTCCTGAAGCCTTGACGCATCTTGCCATTCTCCCCATCGAATGATGATCGCTCTGACGGAGAGTTGCCATTATTCCACGAGTTCTTCTCAATCCTCTCGCTCCTCTCCTCAACTGGTCTCGTCGGATATGTGTCCACATCACTGGATGTTGTAAAGTTTCCCTGCTCTGTCGTCATCTCGCCGACAATCTCATTCCTCTTGAACGCCTCTCGCTTGCGCACATTCGGCGCCTTCTTCTCGAACATATTGACAAAGTCCTTGTACGGCATTTGCGATCGGCAGAGACTCTTGGAGATGTTCACCGGTGGCATTTGTGTCTCATCGAATAGATTCACAAGCAGCGTCTCCTCAGTCAAATAATCCACAATATGCATATTGAGGGTCTTCCGCTCTCCTTCGGCATCCTCAACGAGCATCTCGAAGGCATTGGCCGAGTTCTCGCTGATGTCGAAGATGCTCTCGAAGCCCTTGATACAACATTCATAGACCTGAGGCGGCATCTGTGTGAATTGATAGCCAATCTCTCGCAGCGCTGATGACGGCACATCAATGATCTTCCCATAGTCCACCAGTCTCACGGACACCTTCCTCTCCGCCCTCTTCACATCCACCACACGCCCACGATACCAATCCACATCGTTGTCCACAGAGACCGAACACAGCGCTCCCGGTTTCACTTCCGACATCGGTTTTCCCTGCTTCTGACAGTAAATCGAGAGCTTGTCCATCAGCACATCATGGTCAGATGTGTTGCTCACCAGCTGCACATAGAACTTCTTCGGTGAATCAACATAGCGCACAATCACTGGCCCATGAAAGTCCGGAGACAGTCTCACGGTGGGCTGATACTGAAGTCCAAACATCTGAATGCGCTTCAGCTCATCCATCACGCTCGTTCGATTGATGAACAGCTCACAGCAGAGCACAAAAGACGATCCCTGACTCAGCAACACCTTCATGCTCAGATCCTTCTTGTATATCAACTGTTGGAAGAAGTCCTTCAGTGCGTGTCTGTCGCCCAACTCTTCACAATTGGCCAGTGTGCTCTTGACCGCGAACATCTTGTAGCGCAGGAAGTGGGCGGGCATCTCAAACATATTGCCACACGCAACATTCTCCGTGTTGCCAAAATCCACGAAGTAGACAATGCAAGAGGCTGGCATGATGTTTGTAATCACGCCACGATACAATCGTCCACTCTTTTCATGGCGCACAATGCACGACATGCCCAACTTCGGCTGACTCAGTTGCTGCAGTGGCGTGTGCGACAGATCATTCATCAGCTTTCTCAGCTCAGACTCCTTCGTCTTCAGCTGCAGCGAGAACAGTCGATAGCCATCTTCCACGTGAGAACACGTGACTTCGTGGAAGGAATTCACGGGCAGAATCAACTGTCTGAGGCTCTTCTCTGATCCACCAGCAGACTCTTCAGTCGCCTTTCCCTTCTGCGGTGCCATCTTCTGCTGAAGCGTCGATTGAGTGTTCTGCGATAGGAAGGGATTTGTCGATGACTGCAATTCTAGATTCTTCTTCACCACGCCAGACGATTGAAGATATCGCATATTAACGAGATTCTCAATCTTCTCCGGAATCGTCTTCTGTGGCGTTTGCGGTGGTGATGTGATCAATCTGCCCGCCAACAGTGACTCTTTCTGATTCTTCACCGAAATAAACGTGCCAATCTGACACTTCTCGATCAAATACTGACTGTAATCGAAGTTTCTATACAGAACACCGATTATAGGAATGCGATCGACCTGAAAAAGAGAGCAGAAAAATGTACACATACATCACAAGAAAAAGCCAACACAGCTGTAAATCACATTGAATTTCCGCTGAAGTGAGGCAATAAAATACTCAAGAGTTCACACAAATCACACCAATAAATCATCCAATTCAATATTTTGCCTTTTCACTACAATTTAGCAAATTGTCCAGGAATAAAAGAATCTTTATCAAACACAATTAAGCCTCTTTGTAAATATATAAAAACTACTAATCGACGTGCCCAAAATCCACGAACACCACAAACTGAGTAAATATTGATAGATAGAAAAACTCTACACAGACTTGCCGAAGAAACCCCTCCCAAACGCCCAAAGAACCGTAAAAGATATGTTTTCATTTTTTTATGATCCGGCAAGAAACAGCAATTGAGAATGTTTCTTGCATTTTCAAGACCCAAGCAAAGAGTGTGTGAGAGAGATAAAAATTAGGTGAATTCTTGTAACAAACCCAGCAAATTCAGCATCATCAGTGTATCTGCGTGGGAGGCAAAAAAGGAGGTCTGATAAATAATGGAAAATACCCAGAAATGCTCAGATTAATTAACTCAATTCTAATATCGCCCTTCGTCCAAAGGTCATGACATCTTATGCAGTGATAATCTCTCTCTCTCTCTCTCCGCATTCCGATCGCACTTTAACTAGTCCGGCAAGTTAATTATTTCATTATTATTATTGTTATAGATAAAGCCGCAGTGTGAAGGCATTTTCTATCTCTGTATATTTGCTCTGTGTGTCTTTTCGCTCTTGTGCAGTGAAATGCCATACAGTAGCGTCTCGTATTTTTAGCCCTCGACACAATGTTATCGCGCGGCATGTGTTATCACACACCGTGCGCTCGTGTGGCCAACAAAAGCTGAGCAGAGATGCTGACTCATTTACCTTGTCTTCCAAGTGGTATGAATGTGTATCGTTGCGGATCTCTTCCTTGATGTCCTCTAGCTGCTTCTGACTCCACGGGCCACAGATGCGCGCCAATATGTACTCGTGGGCCTGCGGGGCGGTGCCGAGGAGATACGCGGTCTCCTCTGACTTGGTGTGCAGCGAAAGTAGCTGTAAAGAGAGGCCCCCACGCATTAGTGCATGTGATTTCAAAGTGTTACTCCTCGTCTTCTCAATTCAATTAATCACTGCTGGGCATTCCTGTGTGTGCAATTACTAGGTCACACAGCTCTACACTTCGTCAGTCGCTCATTCGCCAGAGTGATGAGCATTTTAGACAAATACTCCATTGATTTTCACACCAATATTGGCAAAAAGTGTGGCGAGCAAATTTACTATTGCTCTTTTGTACAAATGGCATTGATTTCTTGCAAAATAAATTTTTAAGGCACATCGAGATAAGATGACCGAATTTTTCTGTTCACCACAAAAGCGAGGGTAGATAATGATAACAACAAAAAAATGATGCCTAGAGAGAAAATCAGGGGCTCTTTTGCCACTCACTTCGCTAATGTGCACCGTTGCCGTGTTTCCATAGTCAATGAACAGCACGGACACCAGATCCCGCTCCGCCACCTTCACAATCTTGGCCCGATAGTGCGCCCCATCCGTGTACACCGTGAGACACCGCACGCCCACCTGCACATCACTGGGGCGAAAGGGTGTCTGTCGAGTCTGCGAGCGAGCCACAATGGTTTTGATCGCCGTCTCGATCTTAATCGCCTCCTCCGTGTCCATCTGCCCGTAGATCTTGAGGAAGTTGCCCCCCCTGCATGTCTCCACGTGTGTTATGAAGAGCGACATCCTGCAATTCAGCGCCTAGCGCCCCCAAAATGCACCGCGAGAAGAATCTCTCAATGCAATGGACGCTGTAACATCCCCTGAACTTTCGCACCTTTTTCCACTCCTCACGCTCCTGCTCTCACCACTTTCTCAATCGTTTTACCTTCTGCAGGTCTTATGCCACACGTAGCGCCCCAATTCACTGCCTCAGTCTACTTCTACACCAGGGAAAATCCTTTGTAATGCGGACACGAAAAAACCACACGCGGACGCTTTTCTGCAATGATTCGAAGTGAACTGAGCAACAATTTCACAGCATCACTTTGGATAAAGCGGTCTTGGATAATGGCCGTGACGTGGAAAAGTGTAAACACACATGCGATGAGATCATGAACCTTTTTCTTCATGGATTTGGTGAGTTTTCCGCACTAATTCACCGCTCGATTTGTGAAAATAACAGCCGCTCATCTTGCAGGACTTTTACTTATTATCATTAGTTGTGCAGCATTCCAGGATGACGTGATAATACCCGAAGACTGGGTCGAGCCTCATGCTTGGGCGTCCGTGCAGAAGGTGTCCGGAACACGTAATAAAGATGCCACCAAGGATGCCACGGACAAACCTGAGCCGCGCGAAAGCTGTCCTGTGGATGAGTCGCTCGTATTCTACAGAAGACTGGTGAATTTCCTCTTTGACACATCGAAATTGCGCAAAAGTCCGGATGGGGATCAAATGTTCCGTTCCCTTCACCTGCTCGTCACACCGAAGATTTTGGAGAAGCTGAAAGAGGCTCGGACGGCCAGAGATCTCGACAGTGTGGTGTTTGAGGTGATTGAACTGTCGCGGGATGGAAAGCTGCAGCAGGCGAAGGAGATTGTGATGTCCTACGTGGAAATTTTTACCTTCTACCTCAACGAAATCTACAATTCAGACACTGTAAGTCTTCCGGGCGTTCGTCTGGCCAGTTTCATTTATTTCTCTCGCATTTCAGCTTCTCTTCATCACTCTCGCCATGACAACTCTCAGTTTTGTGTGGTTCGTGAGTCGTCGGATGCAGAGAAACATTGTCCTAGTCTTTATCCTCACCATTGTGGCCATCAGCTACTTGCTGATGTATATGGACTGCAACAGGAGACTGGAGATCAAGAAGCTGCTGCAGCTGAATCGTGAGAATGAGGGGAATCCTTGTGAGGTGACGTCGTCCTGGTCTTTATGGTCTTCACGGTCTTCATACTCTGAGGATGAATGCATGAAGCACCTTCTGAAGAAGTTCGGTCCTCAGCGGAGCATTTGTGGCCCCACGGAGGTTCTGCTGGAGTTCTTCAGTCACATTACAATGGAGCAGTTCAGCACATTCGTCTACAAAGCTGCAACATCATTCAAAGAGATCTCCGCAAATTACTCGATTACGGAGAATATTCTCCTGCTGCCCTTAATTCTATTCTTCACCACCTTTATGTTGATCACCATTTTCAAGTACGTCTTCAAATATGTGGTGCCAACGGTTGTGACGAATCTCAATGATCACGGAGTGGATCAGACGCAGAAATCACAGAATGTGCCTCAGATTGACTCAGGTTCTGATCGTTTGGTCCTTTCCGGACAGAGTGTTGAGAAACTTTTGAATCTTCTGCGACAGAATTCAACTGTGAGTCTCACAGAAGCGGCAGGAGCTCTTGAGACAGCTGACGGGGATCGTGTTCAAATACTGCCCAACACAGAAAGTCAAGTGCAAAGCGCTATTCTTGAAAAAGATGATAAAGAATCGGAAAAACTCGAAAAACCTGAGAAAGAGAGTGAAAATAACAAAAATCCAGAAGAAATCACAAGTAAAAACACTAAAAGCGAGGCTAACCCATGACTATTCCACCTGACGAGCAAAATTTATATAACGAGAAGCATCATGGCATGTAATTTGTAATTTATTAGAGCGCTTTTCCACAAATTTTCACTAATAAAAGTCACTAATAAGAAGCAATCAATGTACGTTACTTGGATAATTTTGAATATGAGTTGCGGTGTCACGGCGCGGAGCCACCAAGTGGTGGAGATCTGAAGCTCTCAGTTGACTAATGTCAGTGGGAAATAAACGCAATTAGAGAAATGTAAAAATAATGCATTTTCTCTGAATATTTCCAATAATTTCTAGTGAAATAGTGTTTTGATACATTCTCAGAGGATGGAAAAGTTGCTGTGGTGTACTATTATTGCCCTAGGATACCTGAGTAAGTGGAAAAACACAGGGTTTGACTCACCAGTCTGCCACACCCTCCTGACATTGTGCCTCTAAAAAGCCCCCCAGTTTTCCACTGAAATTCACCTGCGCGCCCCATCTCACGCCGTCTTTGCTTGCAGGTGTCAATGTTGAATGCAACTGCACCATCCCACTCATCCTGCGAGGCTCGTGGTTCTCGTGGGAGGTGGGAAAGCCCACGCTGACCGTGCTGGACGCCACGAAGATGTCAAAGCGGGGCGAATGTGTGAATATGCTGAAGGATGAGGACAACAATTACATGCTGATCTTCAAGGATCGCGAAGGGTGCTTCCACTGCGTGAAGGCGCTGCCGCGCACGCTGAATGTGTTCGAGAAGGTGGAGACGCCGTGCGTGAATCTGAAGCCGGATGAGGAGCCCACAGTGGAGCGCGTGTGTCAGGGCATAAATGCCGAGCAGCAGCTGATAACGCTCTTCAATGAGAACTACATCCCCATAAATTGTCGTTCGTCGCTCGAAGGTGTGTGGCAATTTGCCTACCAGAATCGTTTCCGCTTCACCGGCGAATGCGATCATCAGGATGCGCAGATTCGCTCCTGCCAGACGGCAGGCACGCAGTTCCTCATCACCAACCAGAAGTTCAACATCACGTACAAGCAGTGCAAGGGCATGGCGGGCACGTTCAACGGCGTGGTGGAGTACAGTTGCCTGGGCGATTGGTTTGTGGGCAAAAATCACTACTTTGCCGTGGCCAACACGAAGGAGAGTCGAAAGGATGAGAAGTATCGCTGCTTCCTGAAGAATCGTGATGACGATCTGTACATTGGCGTGTCCATCACGGCAGAGTGCAACACGCTGAAGACAGTGGAGAAGTCGCCGGAGAGAATGCGCGTGACGCCCGTGAAGGCCGAAGTTGTGCTGCCCGGTTGTCGTTTGCCGCAGAACTTCAGCGGCGACTGGATCAACACGGCCAACATCGATGCCGATGTCTTCGTCAACGAGACGCACATCATCGAGACTTACTATCCGGACAAGGCGAGATATCGCAGGACGATTTATGTGTGTCGCGAGCAGAGAGACACGCGCGTGATGATGGCGAGATTGACGGTGGATGGTTGCCAGAAGGATTACGTCTGCTTCGACTTTGTGCCGCGCCATCACAACATCATCCGCTACAGAAGAGGCGTGGCTGTGATCATAGACGACTTCAGCACAGTCTGCTCCTGGGTGCAATTCAAGAACAAGGTTCAGTGGCGATATGATCTCTTCTTGGGTGAGTTCATTGCTTCTTTTTGACTGCTTTGGCAAATTTATCAATTGCTTAGCATGCTTTTTTGCCTTTGCAATTGGGTCACTGTTGGTCATGTTTCTGGGATTTTCTCCACAGCCAAGAATCCTGTTCCCGTGCGCTGTCCAGTGGCGGGCAAATTCAATTTCACACAGCGCGGAGAGCATCCATTCGTGACGAGAATCCTGGGCGGTGTGACGCTGAGTCCGCGTCCGGACATTCACTGCAAGCAGAACATCTCGGACTTGTCCGTGTGCGATACGGATCAGAAGGAGATGGCCATCGATGAGAACTATTGTCTCTCAGTGGACCACTTGGGGCGTCCTGTGGACATCTACTCCGATCCCGATTACAAGATGAAGTGCATTGGCTTCTGGAAGGAGAATCTCAAATCCTACCTCATCACGTACGACGATCTGGATCCGCTGTCCAAGTACCGATGCTGGGTGTATCAGCGGGCGGATCTCAATCGCGTGCTCATGTCGCAGGCCGTGGGCGCATTCTGTGACATCCGGCAGGATGTGACGTCGTGGAACTACACCGAGGGCGCCGTGGTGTCCGTGGACGCCACGGAGTATGAGCGAGAGCGCGATCAGTGCCCAATGCACTTCGACGATGGCGAAGATCCGTGGATGAATTCCGAGAACTATGTGAAGATCTTTGACTGGGACTTCTACAAGAGCACCTCATCAGCACTGCACGTGTCCTCTTTCCTCCTCGTGGCGCTCGCTGCCTTTCTAGCGCACTAATCCGTCCAACTCTACCCCCAAACTATACTCTCTTTTTTTAGGATGTAAGACAAGCAATTGAGAATCTCATCGATCCGTCCATATCACATTCCGGCCATTTTATCCAGCTTCTAGATGTGAATTTTTGTACTGTAACATTCGGTAGAATAATTGAAAAGTGTTTTGTAGAATGTACAAAATCATGATGATTTAAGAATAAAGTCGAGATAGAAGGTAAAAATGATGGTTTTTAGAAGAAGTTTTGGATTCGGTTGGCAACCGTTGTGGCGATCATGAGAAGATCCTCGCGGCGTGAGGAAGGGCCACTGATGCCTTGAGTTGAAGCCCAATTCCTCAGTTCCTCACAACTTTGAAATCCGAGTGAGACTGGAGAAAAAGGGGCAAAAAGGGCAGAAATGCATGCTTTCACCAGCATTGGAAGGTTTCTGTTGTGGAGCGGGAAACAATTGCGGTGCTTCATGAGAATCCGCATGCGCTACCCGGCTGAAGAGCCCTCAAGTCTTGATATCCCTCATCACGTGCTAACATCAAATAATCTATCATTACACTTTCCGGCTGCGAAAGAATGCAGTGATCAGCATTTTCCCACATTGTACCATCTCTTGGGGGTGGAAATGCAATTTATTTTCAGTGGAAATTAAGGAAAGAGCGCACGCGACGGACAATAGTGGGACTGCAGTGCGAAGCTCGTCAGTCGGGTTCCGACGTCACACACAGCGAAGTGTCAAAATGTCTGGCGTGATCTGTACTTTCGATTTTCGTGCTGCATTGGGGCAAAATTGGGAGTGATTGGAGTGTGTGTGAGGACGGTTTTCGGGGGCCCCACTGTCTGTGAATGTGTGCGTAGCCGTGCGATGCGGCTGACGACGGCGAGACCCCCACCAGCGCCTGAGGACGGTACGCACAGTGGTGTCTGGAGGAGTTGGCTCTCGGGAAAAGTCTCTCTGGCCACTCAGTTGGAGTGCATCGCTCGTCCGGAAGAGTGTCTCTTGAGCCATCTCGCCAAGTTGCGCAGGCGACTTTCTCACAGATTCCCTCTTTGTTCTCACATCTCTCATCCAAAAGGTGCTCTGCCCGGAGAGGAGCTCCGCCACCTTGTTCATGGAAGCTAAACCACCCCGAGAGGTCACATGTGCTTCGCCCCGGATACCCTGCCACATCTGACAGTGTGACAATGTGCATTTAGCGGTTAGATCGCTGTGAGAGTTCACGCTTGTCGGAATCCCAGTCCCTCGGGAGCGTTATATAAGGTAGCGCGAGAGTAATATACAGTTGAACAATCTTTGAACTTTTCGTGTGACTCATCCGCCGTGTGTGCTCCGCAAGAGACACGTCGAGAATCAGGAGAAGACAGTCTCCGCTCATCATCACCACCTTCAGCTGGGCGCTTTTAGAGTCAGGTGAGTGATTTTTAACTAAGAAAATCCCTTTCCGGGAGTGAAGTTCGTCGTCTTCTGGTGCTTTTGTGACTTTCCAGACAAAGAGGGATGACGAAATTCGCAGAAATGACCGCAAATTCGCCAACATTTGCCACATAAAACAGTGACACTTAGATTATTTCGCGTTTGTAGGCAGAAAGAAGAAGATGGCAAAATAGTGCGCAAAGAAGCACACCTTTTGTGCCCTCCTCTTGATGGTTTTGTCTCTTAATTTATGGCACTCTGCACTGATGTCTTGTGTTAAAATTTCGTAATTTAATAAGTTTTTTTTCACTCTCCTCGCTCTCCTCCCAATATATTTCGCTGCTCATGAAACTTTCACCGTCTCTTTGAATATTATGCCTCTTGAAAAAGAGTTACGTGTTGAGCAAGTAAAATACAAAACTATTTTTCAATGCTGCAAAATTGGAACTCCAAAAAGACGGTCGATTGAGGAAATTTGATCGTCTTTCGCTCAAAATGCGTCAATTTTTTTTTTGGTTTTCGCAAAAGAAATGGGAGGAATTTTAATTGTGTGACTCGTCAAATTTCATGCTCAAATCTGTCTTCATAAACTGCGCGCGCGCGTTTTCTCTTAACACCTCTCAATATCACTGCATTTCCGCGCATAGAGCAGAAAGTTGTGATGATATTCAGTCACCGCATTCAACCTATTTTAATAACAACAATTACAATTATCAATAAAATTGATTAATAACTACAATTATAAAATATGTTTTATCAAAATTCCCACGATAAAGTGGAAAATACTGGAAACAATATTCTTGAGATCACGTTTTATTTAAATGATATATTTAAGAGAACATATAACACGGGTTTTAGAATAGAAATTAATTAATATTTAATCGGGATATAAAAAAAATGCATTTCTATTGACAAGAAACAACAATAGAATTGTTTTTAAGTTCCCAAAAAAATTATTTTGCTGTTGTTTTTACAGTTTTATGCATTCATGACAATTAAAACGCAAAATGCATCTCTTTATCGTGTAACGGCGCCCTTGTGTCCTAATCACGTGAAGCATTATTTTGAATGTCTGGCATGATTTATGTGGAGTAAAAATACTGTATTGCAGCGTGAATTTGAGCCATAATTCACACTTAATTGTTCCGAAGCAGTGTTCAATTTAGAGACAAGAGTTCTTGTAAGACAACCTGCTTCAATCATGTCCACTTTCTTCAACTTGAACTGCTGTCCCTCGATTTTCTTCGGTGATTTATGCATGCTCTGGAGTGAACTTGAATTTTTTCTGTCTCTCAACTATAAAAGCTCTCAAATTGCCAGTGGGAAAACGTTGTAAAACAACATATGCATAGAGGGAGAGAGAGAGAGAGACTTCAGTGGTTTCTGTTGCTGCTGAAAATCTGGTGGAAAAAAAAGAGTGGCCGAAAAGCAGAAAATAATTGCCAATGAAAGTGAAGTTTTTGCCATGTGTGTGATTATAAAATTTGTGTGGTCGATGAAAGAGGTGAGATAAATTGGGTGAAAAAGAGACGGAAGAGGCGCTTTTTTTGTGCTGTCGAGAGAGCATGAATTCCAAATGAGGCTGAAAGAAAGTGAAAATTGCAGATGGTTTGTTGGAGTTCACGGAGAAGATTGAAGAGAAAAAAGAGGGAGTGAAAAAAATCGCAGCGCAAGAAAAATTTATTAATATATTATTCTATTGCACAAAAAATTAAACTTTACAAGCCTCGCGGGTTTGTCTCTTTTATTTTGATGTTGCGGTGTGGTGAGGAAGAGAATGAAAATGAAAGTGATTTGGAAGAGAAGAGAGACTCTCAAACCGCACAATGGCCTTTTCTTTGTGCTCCGTTGGGATTTGCAATTGCGGAGGTAAAAAAAATTATATCAAATGTGATCTTGAATTTTCTCCCTGGCGGAAAAGAAAATATACATAGTTTCACGATCGCGATCGTGACGGTGAAGGAAAGAGTGTGTTTAATTTTCGTTAGGGCGAAATTTCGATATGGCGGAGAAATTGAGCTGTTGTGCCTGGGATTAGAGTGAAACGGCGGTGGTTTTTTTTCTTCTGTGCGCCAACGAGAAAATAGGTACAAGGTTAATACATATTTTGAGTGTTTTTTCTCTTCTTTTCCTAATTTCTTGTTCCGTGTAAATTTTTCACACACACACGCACACATTGGGTTAATTTCTCGACTGTGTGTTGTCGTCACGTGACGACAAATTGTTGCAGATATCAGTGATAAAAGAGCGTTACGTCGATGCGATCGCTCTCTTTATTGATTGCCGAAAAGGAGAGTCAAAAGCGATCTTTATTGTTGGTGGGGATTTTACAAGGTAGACGGACAACTTTTTATTTATTTATTCCCTTCTTTTTTTTTGAACACTCCAACTTTTGTGGTTATGCAAAAATTTTTATCGGAGTCACAACAGTCGAGAAGAGTTGACCAGAAAGAGAAAGAATGGATAAAAAATTCATGAGGAGCCGCGTTTCATAATATTAAATGTAAATAAAATACGCCATGGTAAAAAGAGAGGGAAAGAGTACAGACATATCCATAACATACATTTATCAGGTGTGGGAATGAGCGAAGGTGAGGGAGGAAAAGCGCAGTGAAAGAAGAAGAAGAAGTTGATGGAGGGAGGAAAATGAAAACACGAGTAAAAGAAATGGATTTTTTTGTGTTGTTTGGTAACAAAATAAAGCAAAGCAAGATGAGTAAAAAAAATCAGACCTCACGATAATTATTGATTATAAGTGGGTTTTATGCAATTGGCAATAATAATAATAATACAACTAATGTCTGGCCAAGAGATTTAATATATAACATATCATTTACACATTTTATACACCCACAAGCATTCCTTATATTTTACCTCCTTAATTGCAATCCATTCATAATGCAATTGTTTGACTTCATTTTCTCTTCTGCCACATTAACATGTTTTCAACTCTGCGCGACTTTTATTTGCTCAATATATAGCAAAAGCACAATGAATCAATATCGCACAGAGTGCCGATGGATATTTGGTGATCTTTTCGCTGGAAATAAACTGACACACTTTGGACAAAGTGGGAAAGGAGACTCTTTATCGTGCGCTGTGTGTTGGCCGAAGAAGAATGGCAAATGAAAGTGAAAACTTGCGGTGTTTTCATGTCTTCTCTCTTCTTTTTTTTCCTTGATCATGCGAGTTTCACGTAGAAAAATCATCAATGAAGATGTAATACGAAGGTTAATAACATTTGATGATCTCACGCTAAAGGAAAACATTCATTGATATTTTATTGATCTGCGCTGAAGACATGTTTTTTGCTTTTCTTCTTTTAGTGCTTTAGATGTGTGACACCGTAAAAGGGAGAGAGAGAGAAAAAGTGTGTAGAGTAAGAGAGATCTTGCTACAAAGTGTTCACATTTTATATGGGTTTTTGTTGAAAAAAGAAAAAACAGTTAACTTCTCCTATACAAACTTTTCTCTTTCTCAACACTTTGGTGTGTCTGACAAAAGTTGAAATATTGTGATATTTTGATAATTTCCCAACACATTGACGCTCCTGCAGATGCTGGTGGAATTGAATAATAATCTTGCGACTGTGCGCGCGGGTCTTTTTCGGGGGATGCTTTTGCAATCGAATCCCTCAAGGTTAATTAGCTGTGAGGTGAGAGTGGGCAAAACCATCTCACACTTTTGTGCCGAAATTTCAGCCTGTTTTGCGTCACTCAATTAAATGACAACCAAATTTTGTGAGACTTTTACCTCGACACTTTTAGTGTTGCTCTGCGAAATCCATGTAAAATGATCCATCTCGTGATTTTTTTGTCAATGACAGAAATTTTTTTGGGTTAAAGAGCGCTTGTAAAATAATATGTGAATGATTTGTAGATATATAAAATCTAGTGAAATCACACAAAACTTTTTTAGGTGATTGCTCTCAATTGACTGGTGATATTTTTGAGCAAGAGTTGATGAAATTATGGAGATATGGAAATGAGGTGAATTACAGTGGAATGTGTGAAAAGGCATGATCAATAAAACTATTACAGAAAATTGTTTGGCAAAACCCAATAAAAGATTGAGGAAAAAAAATTGCAGGAAAATTACTGTGTTTACAGACAAATAAACAAATGTCTTCAATTGTGTGATAGAGAAATAATTTTTTTTCTTTAGAAATCTATTGTCAGATTCTAATAACAATTGGGTATAACCAAGAAACCCAGATTATCACAGTTGATTAATGGTTGAAGTGCGGAAAAATGCGTATAATTTGTCTGTGTGTATCTTATGAAAAATGGGGAAATTTTGTTGCACTTTGTAATCACCTGCAAATTACTTACAAATATGCTTTAATATTCAATCTGCGGGAGTATAAAAAACCCCACTAAGTCTGTAATGCGACTTATTTTGCTGAAAATCGCTTTAAACTATACTCTTCTGACTTGTTCTGAGTGAATCTGTGAAGTGGTAAAAAGGTGAGTTTTGTCTGAAAGGTTCTTTTTTCATAGTTTCGCGTGTGTTTCGCATAAAAGCAACATGTATATCTTCAGTGAATATCTATTTTTTCTCACCTTGTATGCTTTTAAAGTCTCTCAATGGTTTGATCTTTCGGGGAAGCTCTCTGGGTGTCTTTAGTGTCACTGCCAAGTTTAATTTGCAAAAAAGTTCCATGCGCAATGAATGGTGCAATTTACATGTGAATAAATTCTGTCTCAGTACTTTTTATTCACATTGTCACACCATTGAGACATTTTTAGTGTCTTTTTTTCATTTTAATTGTTGCTTCTGCTCAATCTTTTCCATATATTTTAATGTGTATTTTACATGCATAAGAAATTGTGCAGGAAAATAGAAGGAAGATATAATTAATGTTCCTCGAGCAAGAATGGAAGTTTTGATAAATTTCAATGTTGAGTTGAATAATTGCATTTAGTTGCTCTTTTTTCACACTATTATACCTCAACTTCAGGTGATTGAAGAAGAAGAGGAGAAAAAAAGAGTGGCAAAGGCACGTGAATTGTTGTCTCTAAGTTTTTGCTGTTTGTATTGTTTATGCCGTCTATGCAGAATGGCGAAGGTTAATCACAATTGTTGCCAGCAATTTTGAATCGCTCAAGAGATGACTATCTATATTCTTTAGTTCATTGGAAATGACTTTATTATGTCGAGGATGAGCATAAGTAGTAAAATATTAATGAGTGTCCTCAGAACAAGTTCATTGGCTTTCTCGAATATGACGGATGAATAAAGTCGAATTAATTGACTACAATAAAAATTATCTGTGCCACTGTAAAATTATTTTACTTGTTAGCAATTAAAATAAATCACATGCAGAGCTTCTTTATTTGACTGAAAGTGGGGTAAAAAGGAAGTTTCTGAAGGTGTGAAACAAACGCCTTTGTGTGTTCTTAACATCCGTGTGATGTAATTTTTAATAGCAGATGTCACACTTTGCAATCTTTGCGTGCCTATTCAAATTCTTTTCTTACTTATTATTCCAATCATTGAAGGAAGTAATCGCTTTCGTGAAATATATATTTGTGTTTTACTTTGCTGAATATAAAACATGTTATTTTTGGGCAAATATGTCCAGAACAATCGCACACGACGATGAGAGAGATAAATCCACAAAGTCCAATGGTTGGGCATTTGTGGATGCGAAAGGTGAGAAGAAATACCTGAATAATTTCCATTTAAATGAGCGTTTTGCAAAGAGATAAATTGCAGATGGGTTGTAATGTAAATAGATGTTTTATTCTGTTTATTCAGAATTTCTGCCTCCTCAATAAGTTCAATTTGGTTTCCATGCGGCTGAAAAATTATAATTCTTTTGGCTATTTCTGTCAAACAAAAATCAACACCATTTTTGAATGGGAATTTTTCTTTTGCCTCTCCAAAATTCTTTTATTTTCACTGCAAAAAGAGTCTTCGATAATAGATTTTTGTTGGCAAAGAAAACATCCTCTTCAGCGCGTCTCTCATCTAATATTTCACAGCCAAGCATACAACACTTGGTGAACTTTTTTTCCTGCCTCTCCTCCTCAAGTATGTTTCAATAATTTATTAGCATTAACAATAATGCGTTAAAGTAAATAAGTACATAAAACTGTGGACGATGAAAATTTTGCGCCAAGACCTCGATTATGTAATGCCATTTAATGTGTCTCTCGGAGCTGGATTAAGTGTTGTTGATGATGATCTCTCTGTACATTAGATAGTCAACTTCAGTGATGAGGAAGAAATGCAGTTTTGCTGCGATTTTCACTCACGTTCAGTGTCTTTGGCTGTGTTTTCTTCACTTTGTGGCGGGGGAAAAAAGCTTCTGTTTGTGGATCATGTTAAAAATAGATGATATCTTGGGCAAATAGAGGCAGAAAAAGCCCCGCGTGTACATAGAAGAAAGATAGCCTCGTTCAAAAAATTTATTTATTTAACCAATTGATCATTAAGAACAGGTTTTCCAATGTCTTGAGTGAAGAAAGAAAAAAAAAGTTTCTCACATTTTCAAAAGTGTGCGCCTGAGAGAGAGAATAAATGTGCTGCTTTTTTATGCTAATCACCTTACTCAACCGCATCAACTTTTCCCTAATTTCCAATTTTCATTGAAATTTCCTAATCTAAATGAAGGGCCAAAAAGGCATCTTTCGTTGAGGAGTGTTGTTGTTGTTTGTGGCTTTTTTCTCCTATCTTAAGAGCGCCCATTAGTTCATAGAGAGAGAGATAATAACGAATGAAAAGAAAGGCGAAAAAACTAACAGTAAAACATACAATTTATGTTGATTTCAACACTATCGAAATGATAGATTTATCATAACCTCACTCTAATGTCTATTTAGGGAGTAAAAGCGTGAGAAACATTTTTTTTACATCTGCGTTAAATCCACTGTGAGCCACTATTATAGGGTTTGACCTATCCCAAGTATTCAAATAACTGGATTAGAGTGTCGAAGAAGTAATTGGTGTTGCGCAACGGTTGAAGAAGAATACAAAACACTCCTCATAACAGACACTTGAGTACACTTTTTCCACTGATATATGAAGAAAAAAAAATACATTAAATTCATTTGATTATATCACAGAAAGTGGTTTTATCATGAAACGGTGGTGGCGAGAAAGAAAATTTTAGCCAAACGTATGCGATAAAAAAAAACTATGAATGATTTCTTGAAAACTTTTGTAATTCTCTTAAATAACAATGCGGATGATCATGAGCGAATTATAAAAGAGAGAGAGACTCACTTTTTGGCGAATATATACATACATATTAATAATGTTGTAGTATAATTTCCGAAGAAGTGCCCAAGAAAAAAAAAGCGTTTGTGAGGCACAAAAGCAGCGCAACTCACATAATTTTTTGGTAAACAAACTGCCTCTGGAAAATATCTTTGTGCTCGATAATTGCAAATGGAGACTTCGATTGAAGCCTTTTATCCTTTGAATTCAACGTGAGATTCGCAAGATCGCAATTGACGAGTTAATTCGTGGTGTGGTGTTGATTGTGGTAAAAGCTGCAACATTTCATAACAATCACGCTTGGATGATGGGTGAATTTCGTCTAAAATAACACAGTGTTGTGGGAGGAGGAAAATACCATGAACTTATTGTTCAACCATTGTTTTTAATTGTGCTAGGAGATTTTCCGTGCTCTTGAGAGAGGTGAAAATTTTCCCTGATCTTGTTTATAAGATACGCCAAAATGTTAAATCAATATGTTGGGGAGGAAATTTGTGGCTTAGATTGCCGTCAATAAGGTATTATTGGGTGGTGTTTCTAAATGAGAAAGCAATGTGTGGGTGGAAATATTTATGATTGTATGAAAATGTTTCTAAAATAAGAAAGAGTGAGAGACGCTCAATAAGAAGAACCACTCGCCGGTTGGATTTCTGTGAATTTCTGACTGAATTTGCTGCTATTGTTTTTGCAGAAATTCAATTTCCCATGAAGAGTGTCTCTATATAATATTAATTCCGACACTTTCATGCACTCGCGATGTTTATTTTTAGACACTGTGTGTGGTTGACTTCCAAAAAAAAAAATATCACAAATGACTAAGCTTTTGCTTCCTTCTCTTCCAGACACGAGAGAAAGATCACCGGATTCGGGAGCAGTTCCTGGACGCTGATCAAACATGATGGGGCAGTTTTTTCGTGCCCACGGCAAATTCTGCGCCTCCCATCCGTGGGAGGTGATTGTGACCGTTGTCACATTGACCCTGTGCATGACCTGCAAGAGTGGCGATCAATCGCCACCGGCCGCTGTGCGACAGGCACAACGTCAATGCCACGGTTGGGACTGGCGAGACACGTGTGAGGATCAGGAGATGGCCGAGTACAACGCCGCCGATGTCATCCTCATGACGATTGTGCGCTGCTCCGCCGTCCTCTATTGCTACTACCAATTCCGAAATCTGCACAAGCTCGGCTCCAAGTACATTCTCGGTAAGTTGAACCAATTGAACACTGACATCTGTGTTCCCTTCACACATGAAATTATGGGGAATTTTGTGGTTGAAACAGAGAAAATCGAAGGGCAGAACGTAAACAGATTTTTCCGCAAATAGAAGCATTTATATGATCTGTTGAACAAATTCAGCATCTCAACCTTCGAGTATACAAACATTTGATCCATAAATCAACTAAAAAAAAATACTTCATATATTTCCACAATTCATTTCTCGAGCAGACTTTTGGAAATAAAGTCTTCTTGTGAACTCATTCTTGGCGCTGTTTGTTGAAGTTGGTTCGGAATATTTGAGCGAGTTCAACAGCATTTCCCACGAACATAGACTTGAAATGCAAGAAAATATGTGGCAAACAGTTGAGATTTTGCCCAAAAGACACACACTCTAAATTCCTCAAAAAATCAAGTCCGGCACAACAGTGGAGACGCCGGGTGACCAGGCGTCTCCACTGCCAGCCGGCTCTCATTGTGAAGAGATGTCTTTTCTTATTATGAGTGCATGAGATTAGAAAGTTGTACAGTGTTTGTGTGTGTTTGTGTGTTGCTTGAAAGAGTGCATTTTTGTTGAGCCTCTTCCCAACACTTGTATTTGATTGAACACGGGAATCGGCAATGTGTTATTGGGTAAAGTACAATTTCCTATTTACTCTTGTGTGTGCAATTGATGTGTATATATATGGTAAAATTCGCACAAGTTGTTGGCGTCTTTTGCACACACAAGTGTTTTTGCTCACAAAAGATGGGAAAACATGCAAAGACAATTGGTTAATAGAGTGTGGCATAATTTGGACAGTGCAAAATACCTCAATATCTATCACATTGGCTTGCACTAAAGTTATTCAATCACATAGTATGTCATTATTGCTGCAAGACATTTAATTAATTACCCCCTTTTAGTGGGATTGTGATGCATTGGAGTGTGCATTTTTGTGGCGACATGGAGAGAGAGAAAGAGATAAAATTTTCTTGGTGATCAATTGCGAAAGGATACAAGTCACATTTGAGGTAATTCTGCGAGGAGGGAGAAAAAGAGAGGAAGAAATGGCAATATTAGAGTGTTGAAATTGACTATTAATGTTGTGAAAGAGCGAACGAGAGAGAAAGAGAGAGATTCTTGCAATATTTTCACTCTATTCATTGTTCTTCGGCTTTGGCTGAAGTTGAGAAAGGCTCGAAGTCGCGCAAATGTTGTTTATACATCGCTTGAGAGTCTGGCGAATGCAATGTGCAAGAGAGACTTGGTCAAAGAGGTATGAAATCGGTTCAAAGCGATTAAATCATTGTCATTGAACCATGACACGAATATTTTGCCACACAAGATTGTGGCCACTTGACTCGTTGACTCTTGTGGTGAAGTTTTATGCATATACTTGACAGACATTCACATGATCTGGAGGTGCTTTTTTGCATCTTGCGCCTCACATCTTGGTTGGGGGCATTAGATAGAGAGAGGGACAAGAGGTTGATGGAGTGAGAAACAACCTCAAATGACCATAAGTTACCATTTAATAAAGTATTGGTTTCACGTGAGTAAGATGAGACTATAGAATTTGAAATGCGTTTGCATTTGATTTTCACACAGACGATAAATTCAATTTGTGTGTAAACAAATATTTTTCGATTTTGATCAAAGTGAGGAATGCAAAAATTGTAATTCAATTGCAACATATAAAATAAGTATTTATAAGTGAAATATGCTGTACATTCTGAAGACTGCGGGCTTAAACTCTTTGGTGTTTTCTTCGGTTGAGAAATACTCCTTTGAAACAAACTTGCAGAAATGACAATTTGTTAGGCGAATCGTGAGCTGTTCTGCTTGTCTTTTAATGCAATTTAATGCTGCCCACTGAAAGTCAAAGATCACATGCTTACCTCTACGATTGCTCTTCATCAGCGTGCAAATTGGATTAACCTGTCAAGTTGATGAAATGAATTGCAGTGCTGTGGATGGCATAATTGCGCAGTATGTATGAAAAATACTCTTTGGCCGTAATTGTAAATCTTTCTCAAACTGGAAGCGATTTACTTAGCACGTGTTCACCATCAAGAATATCTCCTCATGTGCTGAAAAAAATTATAATAATAACAATATTAAACCTTTTTTTTGGGTAATTTCTACGTGTGGTTTTATAAGTAGTTTGATTGTAATATTGTGAGAAGAGTAAATTTCTTGCACGTGTTTTTACTGTTTCGTGTAATTTGGTGTAATTTGTTTGTCTAGCGCGATGATAAAGAAAGTTTATAGGGATTTATATGAGACGTAAAATTTTGTTTAAATGTAATATTTAATCCTTTCTTAATTATTTCCTGCATATTTTGAACAGATCATAAGATAGAGTGATTTTCCTTGGCTATAAAAATTGCCACATTGTCTGAAGAACGAGAGAGAGAGAGAGAGAGAGAAAAATCATGAAGGTCAGAAGTGTTTTCTGCTAATGTGAGAAGTATGTAACACTTGTAAGAAATTTTGGATGGTTTTTTCATTGCCGATTGCAATGCGCGGCGCATCTCTCTGGGCAAAGCATTAATTCTTTTTCTGTGTCATCTTCAAGTGGAATAAGTTGCGTGTGGGCAAAAACAGCTTCAGAGGGTCATAAATAGATGAGAAAGAATGGACAAAATGCTACTGGGTATTGCTGGACGCCCTTGACTTCAATTCAATCGTGCAAAATTTCATGTTACAACTCTGCAAATATTCCATCGTTGGGTGTTTTTTTTTTCTTCTCTTCTCTTTCAACCTTATGTTTGTGCTGGAAATTTGCAGTGGCGGCTGAAAAGAGTGACCACTTATCGCAATTTTCTCTTCAATGTGCAATGTGTTGTGATGGAAATCTGTAGCAAAAGAGACGCAATGGTGTACATCTCACATTGGGTGTCTTTTGGGCTTGTTGAGTGTGAAGGAAAAAAAAAGCTGAGCTGTTGCATGATTGTCTCCTTGAACTCCAAAATTAATTATTGTGCTGCTTCTCGCGAAAGTGGGACAATGTTTCTTGCATGAGATGCCATGAGGGGGGAAATCTGTGATGCTTTAGCTAATGATGAAGAGTGAATCACACAATTCTCAGGGTTCACGCGAGTGATGAGATTATGTTCTGATGTCTAATTAGATAGTTTGAATAACAGTGGCAATTATGCGATGCAATCAATTCAGCTCTTCGTATGTCATATTTCCCGTGATCGTCTCTCATTTGGGTTACTTAAAAACTTCTGTGTGAGTATCAATGGCTTGTGTGATAACTCAGAGTTGTGTGTGCAGCAAAATTGTATAAGTCCGATTGAAAAGTCATATCACGCAACATGAAAATATACTCTCTAGCAGCCTAACATGTTGACAATAAGCAGATATATTTTGTGCCTTCTTCGGAATTGGAATACTGAACAGCCATGAGAGATTTTTCTCTTCTTCTTTTTTTCTACAATCCGCATACAATTTACTCTTCTCAATGCTTCATCTGATGGCGCAGAGGTTTTTCCCGTTTAAGTGATCCATGAAGAGGAGACAATAAAGCGGGTTAAAATTTTCGGGAAGTGGTACTTGAGAGAAGGTCCTTGTTTGATTCTTGACTGCCTCCAAAAATTACAAGTTAAACAAATCACCGAATTTGAGCATAATTTCGTCGGCTGGGCAAATTTGTAAAATGTGGCTTTTGTGCAAATATTGAGAAATTGTCTCTGAGGTTGAGCGATCATTGAGCAAAAGAGGAATTTTTCCGGTTTATTCTCAAGACGTTCGGTTCACAGAAAAAAACGTTTGTGGACAGCGAAGGTAAAAGTGTCTTCAGGAAGTGGTCGAACTCTCTGGAAGACGACTAAAAACTTGCTAATAAAGTCATTGCCATTATGGAATTGGATTAAATTAGGATGTCATGTAATTTCTCAACTAGTTCAGTCAGTTTAGACACACATTAGACACACAAGTCTTCTAAGGAAGAAGTGCCAAAGCGTGTTAGGGCAGCGGAAAAAAATGTCTTGCAGGCATTATTTAGTTGGACGATGAGAAAAATGCCTTGACCTTATGTTGAAATGCGAATTTGTATTGAAAATTTACTTTTGGCTCAAATAAACGCAATTTCCGTGTGTTTATTTTAGGCTAAAAAAGAGAAATAAACTTCTCATGTACGGCCGGAGCTTCGACTCTCCCTCAATTCAACTTGTATTAGAACATTACGTCACGCCATTGACATGAAATTGTGTGAATATTAAACGCAGTCGAAAATCCCAGAAATTTATTTATTCAAATAATACATCTCAACTCTTTTCACTTGCAGGAATTGCTGTACTTTTCGCACTCGTCTCTAGTCTTATTTTCATGGCGACGGTTTTCTACTTCCTGGGAAGTTCCGTCGCTGATCTCAAGTGAGTATATTTGTTTCTTCAGTGAATAGAGTGTCTGCTTGATGTCACTGCAAGTGCGTATTTCTTCCACGAACGGGTGGAGATCTAGTTAAACAGTGTTTTGCGCCATGTTGATGATTGAGTGTGCGAAAAAATGCGTTGTTTATTGGCAGGAATTTCTTCACACTTTCCTTCTCGTGTGTGTATATGTGGAAAATCTAAACAAGTTCAAATAATTTTGGGGAAATATATTGAGTTGTAGGATTTAGAAAAGATCTTGACTCACTTTTTGCTGTTAACGTTAAACATGAGTCGCGCGATGAAGGGTGAAAAAATAGATGTGGGAAATTGGTTCAAATTTGCCATGAAATACTTACGTAAATTGTAGAGTACAGTTGTAAAAAAAGACTGTAAGCGATAATTTTAATAAGGTACGGAATTTATTGATCAATAAAGTCTCAGCAATATTGCCAATACTTATCAGCTTTGCAAAAGAGACATCAAATTGATTAATAGATTATTTGATTTTATATTTCGTCTATTGACCTACGTTATCACTCTCTGCGAGAGGTGAGTTTTTATCACATGGAAACGAGCAATCTTTACGCTCTTTACGTCACTGTTTAGAAATTTTAACACAACTTTTTCCTACAAAATGTGTATTTCACTTTATCTTCTCTGTGTAAAATGCGTGATTGTTGAGCGTCAACAGGTGTTTTCTGAATTTTATTGCATACTTTTATTCACTGGTTTTTATTATTGTTTGATATTGCAGTGATTAAGAAAGTGTTCCATGTGACTGAGTCTGTTAAAGTAAGAGGAATCCTAATCGTCTTTCATTGGCTTGTTTGCTTACAGGGACGCAATGTTCTTCTTTCTCCTCCTCGTTGATCTGTCAAAGGTGGGAATTCTGGCTCAATTGGCACTGAATTGCTCAAATCAGGCCGAAGTGACGAAGGTTATTGCTCGTGGAATGGAAATTCTTGGGCCGTCAATCTCTCTGGACACCCTCGTGGAGGCTCTGGTGATTCGCGTGGGAACATTGTCTGGTGTGCATCGATTGGAGCTCCTGTGTGGATTTGCTGTGATGTCCGTGATTGTGAATTATGTCCTCTTCATGACCTTGTATCCGGCGTGTTTGTCACTGATTCTGGAGCTCTCGCGGAATGGCATTGAAGTGGCGCGATCTGTGAAGGGCAAGAATTCCCTTCTGACCCGAGCCCTCTATGATGAGGATCAGAAGCCAAATCCCGTTGTGCAGAGAGTCAAGATCATAATGTCAACCGGACTTATTATTGTACATGCTCACAGGTGAGTAAGAAAAAACGAAGAAGATGAAGAGAGATCCGCAAAGGACTATTTTTAAGTCAAACAAGTATAGCGTCAATGCAATTGAAGATAATGGATTATTCGTGAGGTAAATTAGCATTTTACCGTCACTGAAAGACGAAAATAAAAGGGATTAGCGTAAGAAATCTTATCATCTCGAGAATACATTAAAAATATGTCGTACGAAAGACATCATTAGAATATTTTGGTGGACAAAAAGGTGGGTTTTTGTGGTGTGTTGAGGAGACACTCATAGGGGAGAAGAGGGAGAAGAGATGATAGAGATTATTTAGAAGATTCTCAACAACTCGTCAGCACAGTTGATTTAGTCTCCTCTTCAAGATCACAAGTAAACATTTTCCACGCTTTGACGAATGTCAGTGAGTTTCTAGTGGGATTTTTCGTCGAAAGATCTTTCAGTGTTTAAATTTATTATCAACTATTGCAGTAATAATTGTTACTTTTTTGGGTGTTGCAATGAAGTTTCTGGTTTTTCTTAGGTGATATTTTGTTAGATTTATTGATATTTGAAATAAATTGACAATTGATCGTGAAATTCTGCTATTTTTCAGTCGATTCACGTTCTCAGATAGGGAAAGCGAGTCTGAAACTGTCACACTATCGAATGCACCACAAACTGTTTCCCTGAATCGCACAGAGCCAACGGACTTTACAGGATACATCATGAAGTGAGTGATCTTTCTATATACACTCTTTTACTCACCACTAAAAATGCTAATGAGAAAATATTGACTGATAACACTTTCTCTTCCTCATTCTCACTATCAGATGGATTGCATTGAGTGCCGAACAAATAATCTTTATGGTGGTGATAATCGCTCTCACCTTCAAATTGATCTTATTTGAGGATCGTGCTGATTTGGCGGATCAGTTAAATTTGGGCGAAAGTCACGACAGTAATAATACACATAGTAATGGCGGTGTAGAGATTAAAGTCACGTCCAATGGTGACGCTATTGATTGTGCAAAGGAGACAAAGAGGAAGCCTCTGTTTACGTTGGATGATGACACCACATATCTTGATCAGACAACGCAGACGGAGAATAAGTGGCTGCGTGTGGCGGAGGAGCTTGAAGATGTGGAGAAAGAGGAGGAAAGTCCACCGCCTCGACCTGTGCGGGAATGTGTGGAGATTCTCAATTCGCAAGATCGCGGAGCGAGTCTCAGTGATGAGGAGATTCGGTTGATTGTGAAGGCTGGCGGAGGACACTGTCCGCTGTACAACATTGAATCTGTCCTGAATGATCCTGAGCGCGGTGTGAAGATTAGGCGACAAGTGATGGCCACTGAAGCTCGTATTCCGATGGATGTCTTTCAGAATCTCCCCTACAGAGGCTATGACTATTCCAAGGTGAGAGATTTCAATAGGAGGTTTTTCTAGAGAGTTTATTGAGGATGTGACAATTTGTTCAGTGCCTCACAAAATTTATCAGGGCGAGAGATTAAAGAGAAACACTAATTCGCATTACTTTATTTTGCCTTTGAACAGGTGATGAATGCGTGCTGTGAAAACGTGCTTGGTTATGTCCAGATTCCGGTGGGTTATGCCGGACCGTTGCTTCTGGATGGAACGCGATATTTCGTGCCGATGGCAACGACGGAGGGCGCTCTGGTGGCGAGTACAAACCGTGGATGCAAGGCTCTCCTGTCCAGGGGTGTGACGAGTGTGGTGCAGGATATCGGCATGACCAGAGCGCCCTGTGTTCGCTTTCCAGATGTCTATCGGGCGTCTCAGGCAAAGCGTTGGATTGAGACGCAGGAGAATTATGTGCGCATCAAGGATGCCTTCGACTCCACGAGTCGCTATGCGCGTCTGCAGGAGATCCTCATCGGAGTGGACGGACGCACGTTGTACATTCGCTTCAGATCTCACACTGGTGACGCCATGGGCATGAATATGGTGTCCAAGGGTGCTGAAATGGCGCTGAGGTGCATACAAGAGATCTTCCCGGAGATGGAAATCATCAGCTTGAGTGGGAATTTCTGTTCGGACAAGAAGCCCGCCGCGGTGAATTGGATCAAGGGCCGGGGGAAGCATGTGGTGTGTGAATCCATAATACCGGCGGACAAGCTGAAGATGATTCTCAAGACCGACGCCAAGACGCTGGTGCAGTGCAATAAGCTGAAGAATCTGGTGGGTAGCGCCATGGCGGGCAGCATTGGGGGCAATAATGCCCATGCGGCCAACATGGTCACGGCAATCTTCTTGGCCACGGGACAAGATCCGGCACAGAACGTGACCAGCAGCAACTGCAGCACCAGCATGGAGGTGTGCGGCGAGAGTGGGGAGGATCTCTACGTGACGTGCACGATGCCATCGCTCGAGGTGGGCACAATTGGTGGTGGCACGGTGTTGCCGGCCCAGTCGGCGTGCCTCGAGATGCTCGGCGTCCGTGGAGCGCACGCCACGCATCCGGCGGAGAATGCCAAGCAACTGGCGCGCATCATCTGTGCCACGGTGATGGCCGGAGAGATTAGTCTCATGTCGGCACTCGTCAACAGTGATCTAGTCAAGAGTCACATGCGTCACAATAGGTGAGTCCTGACTTTTTGCCTCCTTTTTCCGCTGTGGTTTCCCGCTAAACTGTACAGCCAGACATGTCAATTAAAGTTTACTTGTCGTGCGTAAAATGATCTCGTCTACGCTTGTCAGAGTGATTTCGTTGAACTCATGCGAGTAATATCGCGTCTGCAAAAACTTATAGCATCTCATGGTGATTTTTTGCCGATGGCATTTCACTACGTCGCGTCTAACGTCGTCATTTGGATTCAATGATAGCCGTTTTTAAGACATTCCAATTCCACAATTAGACGTAGAGTGATCGTGAGAAAATGTGTGAATTCTGAATAATTTGTTATTGAAATCCTTCTCTTTGCAGGTCTTATATTAATGTAAACTCAGGAATGCCACAGTCACGCGTGAATAGTGCAACGGGGGACAGCCTTCTTCGTGTGTACAGTCCAAAGAATCAATGATAAGGAGTGGGTGGAAGATTTGCAAATATTGCAATAATAAAGAAATGCATAAAATGCAGACTTAATTGAGAACAAATCAGTGGACACAATTTTTTAGGAGATGTGAGAAAAACCAATTTGTAAAGTTGAGGGCTGAAGATGGAGAAAAAAAGGAGGAGAAAAGAATGTTATTTTGTGTAATGTTAATTCTACTTAGGAGTGCAATTTTTTTTCTGGTGAAGCAAGAAAATTATGTTGGGAAATGTTGAAAAACAGTGCAAGAAAAAGAGTGAGAAAAAAGGGGAAATTTGCTCTATAAATTTTCCATTTTACCTTATAAAAGATGTTTTGTGGGTGGGACAAAATAAATGGGGAGGGCTGAGGAGGGGATATTTTTTGATTTATTATACTTAAGATGCAATGAGAGAAGTAAATGTGTTTTTAGTTTATACGTGAAAAAGAAAAATTGTGAATAATTAGAATGATAGAATTAGTAAGTGAAGAAGAGATGAAAAAAATCATGGCATGGAGTAAAAAAAATAATTGTATAATTGTTTTTCATATGTTTTTAATTTTAGATAGCTAGCTATTGTATTTTGTTTACTTTTTGTGCATTAGGGAAACGCAGTGGAGAGAAACCGAGCGTTGTAGATGAATGAAAAGGATTTGTTAAACAGTTGCCATACGTAAGAAATATCTGTTACCAAAATAATAGTAATTATTTTTGTGTATTTTTTCATATCGTTGGACAAAAACTGACACACAGCGTTGCTTAAGAGCATATAAGAGAAAGAGAGAGAAAAATACCTTTTTCATTGACTACAAGTCTTCCATTGAGTGTTAATGATGAGTACATGCACAGTCTATTAAATTTAAAATGCGTTTCTTCTTATCAAATAGTGAAAGAAAATCTTACCCAATGTTGCCTATTTATTGCTGAAATAAGGAGCTAGAATTCAAATTGCAGATCACTGTCTTATCTCATATTCTGTATGCATTAGGAAAAGAAAAAAAGTATATAGAAATGAAGAAAAAAGGCACAAGAATCGAGGAGCTAATAATGTAATCATTGCAGAGAGAAGCAAGCAGAAAAATAAAGTGAACTTGGAAGTAAAACACACTGATGAGCATGAAAAAATCCAGTCCACGAGGAATTCAAATGGTGAAGAAGGGGTATAAAATTTCTTCTTTCACAACTTTCTTCAATGTTCAATATTTAGATACTTTGTCACGACGTGATCTCGGGCGCTTTTTGGCCTTGCTTGTCAGGTTCATCGACTCGCGGTGTCGGAAGAAGTGGCCAGGAAGAGCGACTCCGAGACTGTAGCGATGGAGAGAAAGTGAAATTGATCCACTGGCTTTGGAGGTCGTGAAGTGAAAGAGTTACGCAACGAAGAAATGCTCAAACAATCATTTGCATTCGACTCAGGAGGTATAATTTATGAGATGATTCCCTCGCCCGCAATACGGTTAAAAGACGTGAAAGTGTTTCTTTTGCTCTTTTCTACTTTGTTTCATGCCTCATTCATTTGCACAAATTGCCTGGTAAGTAATATGCATTTAAGGTTTTTGTTAAGGATATCTGATTTTGATTAAGAGCAGGGAAAAGCCAAGGTTGAAATAGAAAAAGTTTCATGTCAAGTTAAAGCCTCGGTTTTCGTTGAATGAAATGAGAGAGAAATTGTGTTAATTAATGGAAGAATTACTTAGAAAAATATCCGTTTTATCGTTTACCATTGAGAATCCTTTCTACATTTTCTTAAATCTGAATGCCGCTTTTGGAATTTGAAGAACCCAAATATAAATCTAGAAATTGGCATAAAAGTGTGTGTTTTGCGTCTTATTTTAAGGAATAAAATCATACAATGCGATCTGCAGATATTTTATTTTCAAAGTTTCAGAGAATCGCCAAAATTTATGCAAACTGAATTTAAAAAAAAAACTTCATGTGAATATTTTAATCTCAATTCATTTATGTAAAGAAAAATCTTGGAATAAATTATCTTGTTCTTAGCCAAATTTCTAAAGAAATAACCCAAGAAAAATAGACGAAATTACAATTTCTGAACAAAAATCAAATGAAAAAAGAAATTATAATCAAGTCAATAAATTTTTTTACTGATGCTTTGAAGAAAAACGAGTTTTTTAACTCTTATTTCGAGCCATGAAGCTTATGCTCTGCAATATAGATAACTAAGAGCATCGCCTGAATTAATGTAAAACCGCATTTTGAAACACCTCAATTATAGATTCTTTTTTCATGCTATCAATGAAAAACTATCCCACATTTCATTCATTAGCCCATATCAAACATTCCCAAATTATTCTAATGTTGCAACTCACATTTTCCGCTTATAAATCACGAATGAAAGTGAAATATTACGGGAATGTTTTTTATCTCTGCTCTAAATGATCTTTTTACACCAATGCAAACGAATTATCACGAGCATTGAGTGGAACACCAAATAAAGTAGAATATTTTCGAGGCAGCAACAATATTGCTAAACTCTCCGTTTCTCACTCGATCTGGAAGCGTGTCGGAGAACAGTTCTGGCAATCCTCGTGGAATCATGCAGAAGAGTTTGATTAGTTTCTTGTGGGTGATTTTAAGTGGCTTTTCTGTGCAGTCTAGATCTGGACCGCCACTATTGTCAAGTGATTTCAGTGCAACATTATCCGGTAAAGTATTGAAATGATAAAAATTCTTTTTTTGAAATGAAAAAGTGTCGAGAAAATCATATTTGTTTTAATTAAATGTGTTTTAAACTACGGAAAATCATTGAGAAAATGGAGGAAGATCTTTAGTTTCTTCAATTAACTCTGACCGGATATGATTATGAGCAAAAATGCTCTACACTTTTTTCCAATTGTTACAAAAACTGTGAAGAACAGTGAGATAATAAAAGTGTTTTTTCAACACCAATCTAATTAAGAACATTTATCTTTACACTCTTTTTGTGCATAGATTACAAATTCACGCGAAATGCGATCAAGGAATTTGAGGAACAAACTCGTCTTGGGAACTTCTATTTGGTCGCCTGGGAGAAATGTGCCGATGATATAATCAGGAAGTATAAAGTGGCAGAGATTGAAGCGGGTCTCAACAATTCAGCAAACTTTCTGGCCGCTCATCACTTCTTCAGGGTGAAGGAGAAGATTGAGCAGAGTGAGGTGTTTCGGTTCATTGCGAAGATGCCGAAAGGAGCCAATCTTCATGGGCACAGCAGTGCAATGGTGTCTTCAGAGTGGCTCCTGAGGAATGTAACTTACCGTCCAGGCATGATTATCTACACGGATGAGAAGAACATCACCAGATTGACCTTCAGACAGCCAGATTCCTCCATTGAGTGGAATTACTTGTCCGACCTGAGGAACTCTTCAGAAAATGTGACGGCTTTTGACGAATGGCTGGAATCCAAGTTCAATCTCTACACTCCAAATCCTGAGATTGATTATCCCGATATTGATGTGGTTTGGACAGCTTTCGAGCGAATGTTCGCCACAACCGAAGATATTCTCCACTATGTTCCCGTCTTTGTTGATTTCTACCGACAAGCGCTGCAGGAATTGCTCAATGATAATGTAATGTACACTGAATTCAGGACAGGTTTCGCGAAGCTCTATGATGATTCCGGAAGGATTTACAGCGAAATCGAACACGCGGAGATTTTAATGAAAGTCATCGATGACTTCAAGGAAGACAATCCGAACTTCTTCGGAGCCAAGGCCATTTTCACGGGCAATCGAGACAGATTGACTGCGGGAAGTTGGAGAGACATCGAGGTTTACAAGAGCCTCAAGCAGCGTTTTCCTCATTTTATCGTGGGATTCGATGTTGCCGCCCAGGAGAAAGTGACGAATGCAAATTTTGGATTCATAGAAGCCCTCCAGAGTCTGCCAAAGGACACCAAGTTCTTCTTCCATGCTGGCGAGACAAGTAAGTGAAGTACAAAATAGCAAAAAATACCTGATAAATTCATACAATTTCCTTTGGCGTGTTGAAGATTGGTATGGAACTGATGTTGATGAGAATCTAATCGACGCAATCCTGATGAACACCACAAGAATAGGCCATGGATATGCTCTCCTGAAGCATCCCTATTTGCTGGAGATTGTGAAGAAGCGAAGGATAGGAATAGAAGTGAATCCCATCTCCAATCAAGTTCTTCACTTGGTGCACGACTTGAGGAATCATCCTGCTGGCTTCTACATCTCTCAAGGACTTCCAGTCACCATCTCCTGTGACGATCCCGGTTTCTGGGCTGCCAAAGGACTCAACTACGATTACTACTACGCCTTCATGGCTCTGGCATCAGCAGATGCTGGCCTGGAGACGCTCAAGAAATTCGCATGGACATCACTAGAGTAAGAACATTTATGACTAGATTCAAGACACATAATCAACAATACTTCTTTCAACAGGCAAAGTGTTCTAACGGACAAGGAGTGGATGAAGGTGAGCCAGATGTTCCACGATCAGTGGGCGCTCTTCATCCAGAACGCGTGTCAGCATTAATCGACAGCGTGGCATCTTCGCGATGCTCCGTGAATGCGCAGGAATCCAACACAACTCCTGCTAATCTGCTGAAAACAGCGCCTGAACCCATGATCTCCTGTCTCAAAGTACGGATCCAGGATGATGTTATCCCTCTCACTGTCATATCTTCCCAGCAATTCGATCTTGGCCGTGAAGTCTGGTGGAGCCAAACTCATCAAATCGTCAATATTTCTGGGATCCATGCCGAAAATAAAGTCAAAAGTGTAAAAATCCTCCTTGCAAACTTGTCTGGCAATGTGATCCGAGTGCAATCCATTCTCCTGAAGAATCCTCATGCATCTGGGCTCCGGAGGGAGTCCCACATTCCAGTCAGCCAGTGCAGCACTGTCCACCTCCCAAGTCGATGCCTGCGGAAGGAGATTCTTCAGCACAGCCTCAGCCATGGGACTTCGACAGGAGTTTCCTGAAGCCACAGAGACAATGCACAGAGTGAATTTTCTCCCCCAGGGACAATTTTGCACAAGGATTACCAATGCAAACAAATAAAATTCTCAATTTTCTCCCACTAGTTGCACACATTTTCTTCACACTCCGCTTGACACTGTCGTGAGAGATCTATTTTTAGGAAAAGACACTGATCAGTCGTGTGGAAATGTGACTTTTGACGGAAAAGCGCTTTTAAACCTTTCCCTCGGTGACTTGAGTCAGGAAAGCCTTGCAGGATCTCACGCACTGCACGTAGCACTGCTCGAAGCCCGCTGATCCTGAGTCCTGGAAGAGACAAGTTAATTAAGATTGTTTCACTGCAGGTAAAAAACATCTTTGAGTTTACGTATATTGGAATTTGCTGAAGTCCTCCTTTTTAATCTGCCTGGCTCTGTTGCTGTACGGAAGATCATGCTTGGCCATTGTCTCCCTGGCTCGGTAGTCTGGGTTGTTGCCCTTGTGCCAGCCTCCAATGGCAGCGCTGTCAATGTTCCATTCGTCCTCCTGGCCAGCCTTCTTCACCTCGTCCATGAACACAGCCTCAGCAATGGGAGAGCGGCAAATGTTTCCTGCGCCATTTGGACAATGATATAACCAGGAGACATAATTCCAAAGGATTTCTTACCCAGGCAGACAAACAAAGCAGACTTCTTCGCCTCCCCCATGATTTATGTGGAAATAATGGGTTGTTTTCGTTGATTTAGAATTATTTGCGCTTCCTTGCAGCGTTTTGAGTATCTTTGACACCGCGAATGACACCGGATACAGCACAGCGGAGTAGGAACAATTTTGGAATAAGAAAATCCGTTGAGGGGCTCCGCAACTGAAGACAGCAAAAGACACCATGGAAATTTGATGAAAAATCTCTGTATTGAATTAAGGCGTTACAGAACCGAGCGGAGCATAAATAAGCGAAAAGTGGGTGGCAAAGGGTGTCGCGTGCAGACTCAGCAATCCTCCTTCTTGCAATCCACCACATTGCTGAGTTCCGTGGAGTTTGGTGGGCCCTCGCTGTAGAGGAAGGTGATGGGCCAGAGGCGTGCCGCTGAGAGCTCCTCCAGGCTCTGCAGGTTGCCCGGTCTCGGTGGTTGCTGGTAGATTTCGCCCTTCTTCTTCGGCGGGAGAGTCGATGTCTGGCCAGAGGGCTTGTTGGGGAAGTATCTGTCGCTGCACGTGCGCCACTGATCCAACTTGTCTCCCACATAACACCTGCAAAGGACACTGCATCAGTTCCCTGATCTGTCGGAATGGAGTGAATGTCTCACCATGGATAGTCAAATCCTTGGGAATATCCGCAGGGATGATCCTCCTTGCAGCAATAGTCCCAGGAACCGATTTCTCCACCGTCGATCTCGCAGGAGTAGAAGCCAGTGATGATGTTCTGCTCACACTTGGCTCCCTGTCGGCAGGGCTTCCCGGACACGGTGAAGTGGCGCAGAGTCTCTCCTTCGAGGGCCAAATCCCCAGTAAAATAATGAAATGCGTGAAAGAGACAGAAAGTTGAGAGAGGCAGAGAGAGAGAATGAAGCGACAGGGAATCAGGATGAGGTGAGTGGTATCTCTTAGAAACAGAGATGTGCTGCAAGGTCACAAAGACAAGCTGTAAGAACTGTTCTGTGCAATCCGTGTGCAACAAGGAACTTTACGTTGAAAGACTTGCTCCAGGACGGGAGGAATTCGTGCTGGAGGGAATGTGTTACCCGGTTCGCGGAAGACATCCATCCGGCGATCGTTCCTGTTCCCACTGACCGACGTCACTTTGTCGCGACAGGTGAAGTCGAAGGGATTCCAGGCGAAGAGCCAAAAGTCCCGATCCGTGGTGTGTGAATAGTGCACGTTCAGCTTCAACTCACTCTGATCCAGATCAGACATCTCACAGTTGTACGAAGAGGCTTGCGATCTAGTGAAAAATGTACTTAATTACGCTCTCTTTGTGGTCAATTCTTACATCCTTAACCCACCCATAGCTGAAGGAGTAGCACTTGAAAGGCGTCGTCTCTCGGAAGCGGATGCACTCATTCTTGCACTCCAGTTCAGTCGGAGCTGAAACTACCTTCTTGATCGCCGAGGAGAGTAGCTTGGCAGGAGATCCGTAGCCCAAGTAGCAAACTAAAAGGATTAAAGAGTAATCAGCTCAAGGAATTTTCTGAATATTCAAAAAATCTTACGTTTCTGGTGCTTCTCATCCACAATTGGCTGGAGTTCGCATCCATGGCCATAACTGGCTCTCTCGTAAATATCAAACGAAGGGTCAGTCACCAAATGTCTGTCCTTATCTATGTCCTTGCAGGGCCAGTCCGAGAGTTGGCAGTTATCAATGACAGACTCGTGGCCATGGCCTCTGTATCGGAATGTGAAGGATCTGCAGGTGAATTTGGTGGACTTGATGCACTCCCATTCGCACTCTCCGATGGACTTGACGGTCAGGGAGTCGCGGACAATGGACTTGAAGAAGCGATTTGAGTCGATGGCCTTAAAGAAGCACTCTGAAATTACACATAAACTCTTTTATTACACCTCATCTACATAAGATGAAGCACTAAAACTCACGGGCATTATTCTGCTCTTCCCTAGCCGGTGGCTTTGTGCAGGACTTCATATCATCCGACATGGAATAGATATCGCAATCCCTATCCGGTTCCAGATCTGCATAATAGTCCAGGAGATTGTATGGCCTGTCGCACAGGAAGCAATTCTCACGCGCTCCACCTGAGTAGCGATAACTGTAAGTGTAGCACTTGAACTTGTCCTCGTTCACGCACATCTTCTCGCACTCTCGGACACTGGGCACGGATTGAGCGAGTCTCACCACACCCTTGTGCAGCCTGAATCCCTCACTCGACTTCACACTGCACTCATCGAGTCCAGGACGTCTGGTCCACTGTGTTCCGTAGTCCACTCTCTGCGGGCGATCTTCTGGCCCATAGCGATTTCCCGGATAGCCCCAGATACTGTTATCTTCTGGCTGGGAGTACTTTTGGTTCCCACCTAGTTCGTAGTAATTGAATGGACCTCCTTCCGGGCGTTTGTTATCGTGACCGGATTGAATTCCCCAGTAAGCACTCGAAGTACTCCCACCGTAGCCGCCGCCGTACGAGCTCTGGCCAATTTGGTAGGGAACAAAGGTCGATTGGGGTTTGTATGATCCTCCAGGGCCTCCCGAGGGTTTGTCATCGCGATCGAGGTAGTTGTACGATGGTCGCGGAGGATAGCGATCTCTGTATCTATCCTCAAGATCAGGAGATCCACCATAACTTGGACGAGGTTTATTCAGAGAGGGCCTGGAAGATTGAAGTGTTATTCCTGATCAGAAAATTGGAGGAGTATCAATAGAATCTCACCTGGGACGATAACTATCTGGTCGTGGTTGGTAGAAGGATTCTGGAGGAGGTCTTCCGTAATCCTGTCGGTCGTGGTCGTAGTATCCGGAAGGAGGACCTGAGTATGACGGTCTCTCTGGACGCGATGGCCTAAATTGATCATATCTGTCCACTCCGAAGGGCTTGTAGGACGGATAACTGGGCGGTCTGTAGATGTCCACAGCAGTGGAGACATCATAGCGATTGTAGTCGGAAGTTGGAGGTCTAAAATTGCCTCCGTAGCCACTGTTTTCCGGTTTGTACCGATCCGGCGAGAAGCCTGGATAGCTATCGATCTGAGGCCTGAAAGTTGTCGGTCTGTAGAAGTCCGATGGTCCATAGCCTGAACTTGAAGGCGGAGGTCGATAGGGCTTCAGACCACAATTCACACATCCACTGGGCATTTTGCAACTGGGCGAATTGCTGCGATCTCTCTCGTAGTAATCATAATCCGGGTGGTTGATTAGGTTCTTGTCGCGATGGAAGGGACTCGAGTAGAGATCCATTTCGCCCAGAGGCACTTCGGTCAGTTCACAATTGCCCTGACCGCGTCCTGAGGGATCCAGACGATAGTTGAAGCCTTCGCAGATGAATCTCTTCTCCTCGCCACACTCTCGCTGGCAATCCTCGACCCTTTCGCAAGACAAGGTTCGTCGTACCCAATGAGAAGCCACTCTCTTGCCAGCCAGAACTCTTCTGAAGCATGCTGGAAGTTAAGATAATGAGATGTCATTAATTCCTTCAGTCATGAGATCGATTAGGGACAACCTTTGGCATCCTCTACAATAATAATAGTGCTTTCGTGGGGGAAACCGGGGAAACTGCAGTGAGTCTGAACAGCACAGATAGTGACAATGATAAGAATTCTCAGGGTTGTCACCATTTTTCCTTCACTGAGTTGCACATTTCTAACAAAAATCACTACATTCCCGCCGTGGGATGCGAGAAACACTCGAGAGAATTCCCTTCACTCAATTGTGTGTGTTCTTATCTCTATCACTTAACTTAACTAAGAATTCTGGGATTTTCCCTCCTTTCAGTGAGACTTTTCCTATCTTTTTCTCTCTCTGGACTTTTTCACTCGATCACACTTGGACCACAATTGAAGTGGAATCCACGCGATGCAGTGTCTTTTATAGATTTTCGGCGGGAAACTCACATACTTTTCCCCTGAGACAACAAGTGGGGAAGCCACATGAATGAATTTACCTTCACTGTTTTTTTCTTTTGCCCAGTGCACAAGAAATACTCGCACGAGAGGCGGAAAACCTCCCACAATTGACACTCATCACCTACCATTGTTCTTATTCTTGTGTGGGGGATTTATTCCTCGATCCTGAGAGGGAGATTAAGTGCGGATTTAAAATTTGAAAGTATGGAAATATTCAAGATCAAAAAATTTATGCTCAGGAAGAACTTTCAAAAACTTCGTACAGATCATTAAAATCTCATTTCGTATGGATAAAATATGCTCAGAATAAAGAGAGACACTTTACATACATATTGATATAGTCGTGAGGAAATGGACATCCTCCACTAGGCAGAAGGTTGGATCTGGAACACATCCGATTTTCTCGATTCCTCATCTCGCTCACACCCACATTTTCCTTCCTACTTCACGCAAAAGTGACCGACGAGTTGATGAAATTTGTGTGTTTGGTTGCCAGCACAAATCAATCAAAATGCATCTTATGCAAAATACCATTAATGTTTGTTTGTTTGTTAATTTCCACCCTCCCCACCCATCGCACACACGAGGGAAAACCTCGTTCCACTCTTTGATTCCTCCGTGCTGTTGTCTTCATCGGAAATATCCGTTCAATGCAGTTTTGTTCTCAATGGAAAGATCATCCAATGGTGAACGAAGATTAAACATGCATTGTGAGATGTGCAATCGATATTGAAGACACATTTTGTATGAAGATGCAAAAGGGCCCCTCTTTGGGCCTTATCTTGATGCGTCTCTCCAGTTATTGTGTAAGTCTTTGGGTAGTGTTTTTTTTCGCGCATGCAAGTTTAAGAAGTTTCCACACCCGCACAACTTCTACGCCACGCGGGAGATTCATGCGCCGGGAGACAAGAGGGAGGAGAAAAGAAATTCCTTCGCACAAGATGAAATGAAAAATTGATGTGTGCTCTCGCTTTCATGTTCATCAGCAATTTTTGCTCTTTTTCGCATTGTTGCAAAATTCCCAGACTCACATTTGCCCATTATTAGTTAACAATATTATCTCATAATAGGTAATATTATCATCATTACATCAAATTCTACACGCGGCCTTGCTGATGGTTTGTCTTCTGTCTTTTGCCTATAATTGCCGATCCGATTGAGTTGCTGTGCTTATTTTTCCATAGCACAAATTTCTCTAAATCCTTGCCACGTTGTTGAATGATTGTTTTGATGATTCAATTCAGAGAAGCCCCAGTGATTTATTGAAGAGGAGTCGAGGACCCTCGTTCAACACCAAATTCACCCTTGAGCCTCTCAATGACGATAATCACCAAGTAGTTCAGCATACTAAACAATGATCCCAAAGTGTCGGGGAAATTAATTCAGCGGCAATTAAAATAAAATTCAAATGCTCTCGACGGCAAATGAGTATCGCGGAGGTGCGCGATGGCAATGAAAACAGCGCGCGCCATCGAGAGCCCCTTTCATGTTGCTCTCTGTGCATGGCATCTGCTGCCCAGACTCATTTGCATCCGTATTGAGTTGGAAACAAAAATCACAGCTCCCAATGGGCAGCCTAAAACACGCGCTATGCTAATTACTCCACTGATATTCACACAGTCGCGCACAGCGCAACTGGAAAAGATCACACAAACGACCCAAAGTTTTCATGTTCACGCTCTGATGATCCCGAAACGAAAAGCTTCCCGCGCGATCTTCCATCTCTTGCGCACAACCAAGTGAGTCATATGTGCAAAAATACACTGCACACGTTGACTTTTCATCTCCATTGTGATGGCGAGGATCATTACATTTGTCGCGCGAAAATGAGCTTTATGGCAAGCTCGCGTTCATTCATGATCTCGCCAATTAATTTGGCGGTTAACGACACTCAAAAATCACTTCTTTTTCCGACGTTTTTGTCAATGAACGTGAGCACATGGCGTGCAGAATATGGTAAAGAGTGTTGATGACTCTTCTTCAACATCGCGGCATTTGGCAAAAGTGCCAAAATGCGAGGAGAGTTGAATAAAACTTGCCAGGAGAGCAGGAAGGGTTAGCGGATTCTTTCCGCAATTTGCATCAGCGAATAAATTCTCTTCTTCACGATCGACTTGGTGCGTGACACTGTGGTAAATGGTAATTATGTAATCCATCAAGTCAGAACATTTAATGTGAATTTTTGCACGGCAATATTGTAAACGAAGCATTACGAGAGAGAGATTTGCATGAATTGTTTTTGGGGAGAAAAAAAAACACATTTCTTAAATACAAATTATGGTCTTGATCTTGGATTTTGACTCCAAGAAATGATGAATTGCCGTGAGATCTGTCTAAACAATGTCTGAGATTCTTTTGCAATATAATAAAAATAAGAGTCTCAATGAACTTCAACTCACGTGCTTCCGGTCTCGGGCGATATCCTGATCCTCCACTCGGCGGCCCATAAGATCCTCCTCCGGATGGCGGCTTGTCTGCTTGTCCGTGAAGATGTCCCGGCAAGGATAGAAGCGCATTAGCAAAAGTGCTCGCAAAGTCAGGTGTTTGGGGCAAATTAACTTTAATGCCTCCTCTAATTGTCGGTGATTTGTTGTGAGTTCTCTTTAATGATCTCACGCAGCAATAAAATGAGGCAAAAGTCTCAATAGTGGCAAAAAAAGCCAGGCATTGGCTAATGAAATTGTGCCATCATTCCAGCATCGGATGGAAACAATACAGATGACATTGAATTAAATATCGCGCGCCACGGAAAGCGCACCGCAGTGAGGAGAATTATATTACGTGATCAGAGACAAAAGGGCCCGAAATTAATTCGCAATGCAGACACGCCAGTGAATTGTTGCCAAATTGAGAGTGAATGTGGGTGAGAAATTGAGAGTTTCGTGCAACTTCCAGGAACTCACATTTGTCGTTCTTCATCGGCTTCTCATATGTGTTCGACGGATTTCCATATGGATCCGACGGGCGTGTGTCGCTGCCTGTCGGAAGTTCGGTCACTTGATATCCACTTCCAGCTCCTCCGGTGACGCGATCCGGCTGACCGGAGCCGTATCCGGTCTCCCGATCGCCAGCCATGGAGCCAGTTTCGGGCCGAGGGCGATACTTATCGCGATTGTCCAGTGGCCCCAAGGGCCTGATCTTGTGGGGTGCATTTGGGTGCGATGGTCGTTGAGTGATGGCTGTTAAAGTGTGATTCAGTGGGTGGTGAGGGTGAGCAGTGACCTAATTGCATAGTGTATTTACCTGGATATCCTCCATTGGGGTCTGTGGGATATCTTCCTGGTGGCGAGGAAGCGTAGTCTGGTCCGTAGGGTCTGTTATTTGACGGATATTGCGATCCTCCAGGATAGGAGGGATTCGGCCTGTTGGGTCGGTTGGGATAACCTTCTGTGGGCGGATAGGGAGTCTCTGGATATCGATTGGTAGTCTGACTGCCATAAGTCGTGTCTCCAGTTCCGCCAGTTCCCCCAGTCGTGGCCAGAGAGCTTCCCGTGGTGTCCGTGGTTGTGTAGATAGGAGTTGATGGTGGCCGGGTGTTGTCCGTTGAGTCCACAGACGTGAAAGGAGGTCCTCCAGGTCTGGCGGGAGAGGATGAGGGCGGAAACTGTGCTCCCGGACCCGATGTTGGACGATCAGTGCCCCCGGGAAGATTCCCCGGGAAGGGAAGTTGACTCGTTGATCCCTGTGGTGGCAGGCAATTCTCCTTCCTGGCGTACATGTCGAAGTCAGGATCGAAGATCGTGCCCACCGGCCTGGACTTGCTCGCATCTATCCTCTGGGAAGACAATTGGCACGTGCCATTTCCTCTCGGATGGATTCTGCAAGAGTCGCACATCAATCATTTCAGAGTGGAAATGGATGTTATTGCGCAAAGAGAGTTAATAAAAGTGCATGAAAATTCAATTGAGCACGCTTTTATGAATGGAGAGGAGAGAATCCATTAAGATAGCGATCACTCGCGCCGGAGATCAATCAATCACAACACTGGCAGACCTTACCCGAATGCAAACGTCTGGCATTTGGGGCCTTCGCGGGCGCACAGCTCCTCGCATGTCCGCAGGAGGTTCGTGTCGGTGTTCCTGAAGGTGCTGCCGAAGGGCATCATCGCCCCCAGGGCGATCCTCTCGAAGCAATCTGCAAAAGAGGATGCCGTGAATCCGAGTGTGACAAGGCGGGTCTCTCCTTGGTGTTGCGCAAGACAGTGCGCGCGATTGTCTTGCGCCCAGACAGGGCGGATATTTGCAATTAAGTTGCATTTGGCGAAGAGGGTGTGCTGCGCAGCCAGATCGGCGCTGGCCATTGCAAACTTACCATTTTGTGCAGACACTAGGCGATTATCTATCTGGATGGCAGTGGCAAATGTGGCACAGAGACACAGGCACCCAACGATTGATGGAATGTGCTTCCACCTCATCTCTCTCTTCTGGGGCACACAACTCACAAGGATATAATCTCAATCACCGCGCAGCAGCTTCACTGACGACTCTCCTCAGTGAATCTGCAAGCGAAATTGGCACGTCAAGTGTCCAAATGGAGATCAAATGTCTTCTTCACTCACGCAAAATCTCCCCAGAATGAGGAAAAATTTTTCATTAAATGCCTCTTCACCGTTACTCCTGTGTTGCTGTTTTTTTGCTTTCCACCTGTCTCAATCTCACATTTGAGACAAGAGGCTGAGACGGTTGTAAAAAAGTCTCGATGGAGAGCAGAAAAAAATTCGTGCTCTTGGGTACTGTTTTTTGCACTCACACACAACACTGAAGAGGAGCTTCTGCTGTTAATTCCAAGCCACACACTTGATCTTCTTCCTCTTGTTCTCGCTGGGCTACCTTCGTTGATGCGACCTCTTTGCAGGCCAACAAAAAAGCGCAAGATGGGCAAAAAAAATTAATTATACAGTCGCGAAATATTTCGATGATGAAGATGATAGAAAAATTGTGTTGAGACAAAAAAGATTATTGTTTTTTCTCATGCCGGATTTAATAAAGACACACACAGAGAGTGGGGGGAGGGGACAAGGAGAAAAATCATGATGATTTCACCTTTCAATTATTTGATCATTTCCTCATTTATGCTCCTCAAGTTTGTTTTCTGACGATCACGAGAATGATCTTCACACAGTTGTAGGGAGTTTCAGAGCTCTTAATTGGAGGTGAGCGGGCTGACAAGTTCACAAATGGGTGAATTTTGAACTGGGTTTCGTGTTTAGAGAACAAACAGAACCTGAATTACGGAGTTATTCAATTGGAACTTGTGTAGTTAATGAGCTTATCCTCAAATTGTTACTTATTCGCCCTCTAGAACGCGTGAGTTCTTTTTCTCATGAGTGATTCTCTAAAGTCTCAAATGCAATGATAATAATTGGATGGGAGTTTCATAGTGAAACAGAGAATTTATCCAAAAATCCTCCACACTTGAGCACAAATACACACTTTCTTCGTTGAAGATCATCCAATTGAGAGCACAAAATCACGAATAAATTCACCAAAAATCTCCCCTCAGGGAATTCACATCACATTATCGTCCTTTCTAATTGTCCTCAATGCACAAATATTCGCAGGGATTCATTAAATAAGACTGGCAGTTGTTAATAAGGTGTGATGATCGCACACGATCGCAGAGATTCCGAGGATTGCGTGTTGACGCGTCGGAGTGACGAAAACGACTGAATTACATTGATTGTGTCTAAACTATTTTATTATATTTTTACTACGAGCGTCGCGTAGTACAAACAGCAATTTATTCATGAAGTGCTTCCACTTTTGTTATTTTATTTTATTCTCCTCTCGCGCTGCAAAATTACACTTTGTTCGAGTGTGAGAGAAACACCTGTACTAAATGATTGCTATTTTGTGATCCTCTCCTGTTCTTGCGCGCCTGGCAAAGAGTGATCTCACTTGCTCTCTCGCATGCGGCGTACGCGATATCTCAAGAGTGGCCAGAAGATTCAGGGACTTGAGTGTGCAAATTTTGGCAGAGGAAATGATTCTCAATTCTTCTTCACAATGAGAAATTTATTCAGAACCTTTGTCATGTGAGATTTGACTGACGTGAAAATGAGTATTTATCTTCTTAAGTCCAGGGAACTTTTAATTATTCCCAGGAGTTAACAATCCGCCCAAAGAGAAGCGTCCAAAAATCATTATCTCGCCCTCGGGATCTCACTTTGGCGCGGGCAATTTTCGCGGGTTTCGCGCGTGAGAAACCCTTCAAGTGGAAACTTTTAATCATCTCTCAGATTTCTACCCAGAACTTCTTCTGAGAATGTCGATCTCGCGAACACACAATCAAACAAAATGCGGGGCATGCAAAGAGAGCTAGAGCAGAATGACCACCGCATTGATGATCAAATATGCAAAGCAGGAGAATCGCGCACGAGAGAGACACATTCTGCAATCCAAATGCTCAGCCAGTGGAAAGATCATTAGCAATTGAAATGTGGGCCAATCGCGCGCGAATGATGCTGATGGAAGTGTTTTTGGGTGAGAAAGAGCTCCACGAAGGGCATTCCAGATGACAAACCGATAAACTGTGTTTGCACTTCCATGTGTGGGGCACAAAAAGATCGCGCCATTGGATTTGTGCGCCGAAAATGTTCTGCTGATGTGCGCCGCCTCACAAAAGGCACCCCCAAGAAGGCCAAATTTAATGACTCTTCACTTGAACAATGGCAAATTTATTCTGTCTTTTGCTCACTTTTCGTGGGTGTTTTATATTGGTTTATAGGACTGTTGTTTTGGACATTGAATTGGAGCCCGGGAAATTATCAAGCATCCACAAATTGCGTGAATTTTCATTGAAATCTCCATTAAATGGGCTGAAAATGACGAGGAAGAGTGTAACGAATAATAGTACAATAACCGTTTAATTTAATTTAAATTAAATTATCAAATTTAATCAGCATCAAAATAATGGTTGAAATGCTTTATGAGAGAATTAAAGGATCGCGCGAGACAATTTCAAAGGCTCAATTGATAATCTGCAAATTCAATTTCCTCACCTTCTCTGTAAAAGTATTCACGCGAAAGCTCTCTTGATGAAATGAGATTTTCATAAATCTTTCACTTCTTGAAGATAAAATTTATGCTTCTTTGTTGCTTGAAAAATTCATTTCTTCTCCCAGTCCAAACGGTGGCTTTGTTCTGAGTCGTGTGTGAGAAGAACACATTAAAATTGCAATAAATCGACAGAGTATCGCAAATCTAGAGAGCTTTATGACACCTTCTTCCTCTGCACGCGAAGACACTGTCCGCGTAAGGCGAGAGAAAGAGGGCTCCGTGGAGCGTGATATCCTTCCCGGAAGCTCCTGCAAAGTGAATTTTGTGTGAGTGAACTTCTTGGGAGGGTTTTCAGCCTGTTTGTGGCGCACCAGTTGAGAGAGGAAACTCCGTTGTTTCGCACTGCCATCGACTTCCTGTGTCGTGTCAATGACACTCTTTTTCTGCAAAATTCAATTTCGGTGAAAAATTCACATGACTTTTCGCTCTTTTGCGGACAAAGAACTGAAGATGTTTTGGCTGTTGTTAGAATCTCTCTCTCGCACATCCCAAAGTGAGTTGAGTTCCACTCGACTGACTGTGCAACTTGTCTTGAGGGAATCTTCATGTTGACTTTAGCTAGATTACAGACATCAGCGCATTTTTTTTTCGTCACTTTTTGTATATATTTAATAATGTATTAATTAGTATAATAGATTCTGTACACTTTCAATAAAAATTTTCTTTTTCATCAACATATTAATTCAATTTAAAAAAGAAAAACAAAAGAAAAGATCATCTCTGCTTTTTTCCTATTTATTTTTCACTTTTCTCCTTGCTTTCTTTCCTCTTTTTTTCATAAATCTTTACTTCTAGTTAATTAGATTTGTGTTTATTACTTTTTGTAGGTTTTATTTTCTTCTGTGTTTGTGTGTGTGTGTTTGTTTCACCCACCCTTCGTGTCTAACTGCTGCTCCTTGTTATGTTGCCTAATTCAAAAATTGTCGTTTTCCTCTATTTTCATCATCTTTATTAATTTTTATTATTTAAAAAGAATAAAAAGAAGAAAACTATATAAGAGTTATTACAATTATATGAATTTATTATAGGTACATGATAATTTACTTTAAATTTCATCTTCCATTTAATATTCATTTGTGTTTTTCTTCTCTTTTCATTTAAATATGCTTTCATCTTTTATTTTCTCTATCTTTATGAGAAATTCTTATATACTGAAGGATTTTCTTATTTTTTGTGATTTGTATGTCTGTGTTTTTTTTTCTTTAATAGTCAGAGAAGGAAACAACAAAGTTAAATCTTTACATCTCATCTGCTTTATTAAAGTAATAATTAATATTCTCTGCTCTCATTTTTTTTTATACTTCAAACTCCCTAAAAAATATCCATCCTTACACATTATTGATGCTTTGCATTTAATAAAATGTGATTTTTTTTAAACAATTATGCTTCAACAAAATTCTATTAGAAAAGAATTTTCTTCTAAAAATTAAATTGTTTAGAGTCGAAATTTTTCACATTATACTTTTTCCCATTTTTTTCATTCTCTTATGTACACAAAAAAAAGTATGTACAAGGTTACAATAAAAAAAGAAACTTCTCATGCCCATTAACACTAAAAACGCCCCATTCGGATCGTCTTCATCATCATCTTTAAATCTCTTACAATTTCACAGTGATTCCATCCGTTTACTTAGCAAATTTTGTTGTTTAGACGGTGTAACAAAAAAAGAAAAATTGACAACTAAGAAGAGTGGAAATACACGAACATTTCAAAAGACACTCGCTCGAAGCCTGAACGCGTCTTTAAAGTCGCGCACGATCAAACTTTAATACCCTTTTACCCGAATAACCCTATAAAATGAATTAATTTAAATTCTCCACTGTCATCCATAAGAATAAATCATAAATTAGGGATAATTAATCACTTAATTCCTACACTTTTTTTTATACGTTCATCATCTCAAAATATGAATAATTTCGACTTTTTGTGTGTGTGTTTTTTCATTTTCTTTTACCTTTTGCAGAATATAATTAATAAAACTTCCTATATTTCTCCATCCTTTGTTTCTATGTTCTATGAACAAACTAAAAAATTATTAAATAATTCCTACTTTACACACTGCCTCAACTTTCATGTTGAACAAGAAGGAAAAGAAAACTTCGTAAATGCCTAAATTTATGAAAAGATTTTTCGCCGTTTTTTCTTCTTTTTCTCTGGTCGAGTAGATTCTTTGTGCATAAAATAGTCTATTAGTTTTTCTTTCATCTATTTTATATACCATCAAAATTGTGAAACGCACAACAAAAGGGGAAAAAAGTCATTTCAACGAAATTCAATGACGAAAAATTAAATATGTAAACATTAAATTCTTTTTCTATGTATTAGTTTTTAAAACCTTGTAGTTTATCGAAATTTTTTTTTACGGATTGAAATTGAACTTTTTCTTCGTGTTGATTAAATGTGTAATTTTTTTTTCTTCTTTAATGTCTTTCAGTGAAGTTTTTTTTCTCTTTATTTAAATGCAAACTCTGTCGAGATTAATTTGTCAATGAAGCCATCGTCGCCCCAAACCGCCCCCGAAATCTCCTCAAAATTCCCTCCCCTTTCGCCATCTACACATAATCCCTCGTATATATATATATTTTTACAATGGAAAGTTGTCGTTTTTTCATGTCTGATAAAATTTGTTTTTTTTTTTTGAAAATGATCTCGTCTCATTGTATCTTTTCCTTTTTTTGTTGTAAAAGTGTTGTATATTTTTTTACGCAATATTTTTTTTTTAATAATCTTTTTACCATGTTTTCTCATGTTAAAGTTTATGCACTTAAGACTACTCTCAGAAAAAAATTGTATCTAATGTCAATCTTTTAGTTTTTAGCAAATTTTCATCTATTTCTCTCATCTTTTTTTCTTTTTTTACTCTTTTCCTTCTCATCACTCACGCTCTTCTCTCGCCTTTCACGCTATATTTTTTTTACTTTGTTGTATTCAGTGAAATATAATTTTTTTTAAAAGGGTTTCATTTATGTTTAACAAGTTTTTTTTTCTTCTTTTTTCACTTTTTTCTCTCTTTCTCTCTCACTATTGTATATATAATAATAGTTAATAATAATTACTAATATAATTCTTTATGTTTAATATTAAATTATTCAGATTTACTTTTAGTATATATTTTATGTCATTAATATATATTAAATCTTCTTTTTTTCATCATTAATCTTGTATTTAAGGCAATTAATTCATACATGTATTTTTCTTCATTTTTTTTATTATAGAAGCACCCATACATTTATAAGTTTCTCTCTCTCTTAAAATTTTTTTTTACTGTGTTTTCTCATCCTTCATTACTAGATGTTTGAAAATGTGATTTTTCTACTATATTTTCTCGATGATTTTATGAACCATCGTGATCAAGAGTTGTAGAACCAAACCAAACGAAAAAGGGGATGCTAAACCAATTGGTGAAATATTTATGATTTTATCTTAAGTGTGAGTCTGCAATTTTTTTAGAGCTTGAGAAAAACAATCGATGAAGTGTTATATTTTCCTTTTAACATTTGCTACTTTGAAAAATGCCTATTTCACATTTTTTATTATTATTATTACTCTTTTTCTAGTAATGTTTTGTTTTTTTTTTTAGTACGTATAGAAGATTGTTTTTCGTCTTGCTTAAATCTCTGGTTTTTGTCTATTTGCTTGACTATTTTCTTCTTTTTTCCTATTTCTTTAATCGTATATGTTCTCATGTCTTTCCGTTCATTTTTTTTCTTCTATTTTTATTCTTAATGAAGATGCAAAATAAAGAGTCAATACAAATTCTAATCTTGAGGAAAAATACACAAGACAATAAAAAAAAAACATTTCAACAAATAAACATTTTTTACAGCTATTTTCACACTTCTCCACTTTCGCGCGCCGCTCATCATTTTGTATTCTTTTAAACATATCACAAAATTTTCTCCTCGTTACATTATTTCTTCATGCATTCTTCTATGCTTCTGTTTGCTCTCTATTGCCGCAAAAATTTTGCAATAAAGTGGAAAAAGAAGATATCAAATGAAAAAAGCAAGTATTGAAGGAAATCAAGAAGAATAATTTTTTGTCAAACACAATCTTCAGAAATCGAATTGGTTTTTTGTGTGATATTATTTTTTATGTAGTAAAAAGTCTCATTACTTCTCAATAAAATCTTATATATCTCATCTTCAATGCTTTAACAGTAGGTTTCTTTTTCTTTCTTTGTAAATCTATTTTTTCTTTTTCTGTGTTATATAAATATTAGATTGCATTTTATACGTCAAAGAGATTGAAGATGTCTTCAAACTGTTCTTGATAATGTTTCACAGAGAAAATCAACCAAAAACGTCTTCATGACATTACTTTTTATGTAAATACATTATTGATCTGCAAGTTATTTCTAATTTTTCATTTGGTATCTCTTCTATTTTTATTGAATTGCTATTTTTTCCATCATCTTTGTCAGTATTTTGTGTGTGTGTGTCAAATTGTCTCTCAAAAGTATAATAAAAGTTATAATAAATCCCTCCAAAAGTGAACTCTAATAAATATGCATTTTCACTGGATATTTATAATGCTATTCTTTTTGCGAACAAATTACTGGGTTTAATCTGTAAAAGGGAAGATTTTGGTTCGTTTTTTGTTTTTTTTTTGTTCGAGAGAAGAGGAAGATAACAGATTGTGTTGATAAAATTTACGTATCTTTACAAAAAATCATAGTGCTGTAGAAAAGAGTTAGTTCTTGGTTTTTTTTACGTCACGGGGAAACTACACTTATTAGAAACAAACAAAAACATTAACTTCTACGAAATAATAACAACAAGAACAGAACTATAATTAATATAGTTTACATTTAAATTCATATACACCAATATAATTATTTAATGCAAGAAATTTGAGTAACGTTAACTAAATGACATGTTATACAAAGAAAAGACCAAAAAAAAGAGGACAAAGAAGTACTTAAAAAAAAATCGACTTTTCACCCAAAAATTTCCAGTGATTTCCATTATTGAATTTTTTTCTTCTTCAAGTAAATTAGTTAATATAAATATTAGAAATTATGTGCATATTTTTACATTTTTTTTCATTACTCTTAATTTAATTGCATTTCCTATACTTTCTTCTTCTCACTGTGTTGCTCTTTTATTCTCTCAATTTCAAACCCTCCTCCTGATTGTGGGACTTCTTGTCTTTCCTTTCCTTGTTGCTGTTCTTCACGTTTTTTCTCTTTTCTCAATATTTTCATCTGGACATTTAGCAAATATTAAGTAAATAAAAGAATACAAAAAATGCATCAATACGCAATTACATCGAAATATACTGGAGTAAAAAAATATAGTGACTTAAAAAACCATAATAAAAATGAACACACAAGTTTCGATCAAACGAAGGCAGTTCAGAGTTTCTTCAGAATCTTCTCGCGCGCGCGAGCTGGAGAAAGTCAAAGGGTGACTCCCAAGTTGTGAGGAGGAGGGTGAAAAGGCAGAGAATGGACAAATAATAAATAAGTTACAAACATCTTGAGGGATAGAAAATTAATTGAAGACATTTCACACACAGTTTCTCATCTTGCTGAAGTTAATTATCACTTTTCTTCGCCATTTTTTCTCTCTCTTGCTCTCATTTGTCTGTTTAATAGTAAATGTTACTCTTTTCTGCCCCTAACCATCTGACGCCGCGTGCCTCTAACAGAATTCTCCCCCTTGAACACTACGCAATGTCTCAGATGTATTCAATTTCTGCCTCTTGTATGATGAGAACCACGGCGGCACTGCTGTCGTCGCTATGTTATGTGAGATCTTGGGGTGAATCGATGGAGAAGAGCTCCTTGTACAGTGCAGGAAACACATAGTGTGGATGATCCTGTTTGAATTTGCTCAGTGCTTCCATGTGCATCAGGGAGAGTTCCCTATTAAGAAGGCAGAGAAAAAAAGGTCAGAATGGCACACATTAATAGCCACTTCACGTTGAATTGCTGCTACTCACCTGAATGTTGGAATTTTATTGAGAAGTGTGTCCAACACCGTGACATCTCCTTTAAGCGGTGCATGATTTGATTCTAGTTCTTGTCGTATTGCTGACATGCTCATATTGAACAGTCTTTGAATTTCCGTATTGCCCCGGACACCATTTCGTTCTGCACAGCGAGAGAGAGAAAATGGGGGAGAAAGAAGAATGGTGCTTGAGTATCTCTTGCAAGTTAATTGAGCGCAGCTGATGGATGGACGAGACTCACCTGGCCACAGCAACACAAGACTCTGATAGAGTGCCAATTCAGTTTCTGTGAGTTTAAGTTCCGCAATACTTTTTGCAGTCTCAAAGATAAATGCAACTAATTTCATCTCAAATGAATCAGAGGTATAGAAGGCCTCCTGTGGCAACATGACATCACCATATAGAACAGCATTTTGCGAGAGATCCATCAGTCGTGACATCCTTACGATGGCCAATTCGAATGAGCCCGTCTTCAGCAGGAGAATCTGCAAGGGAGAATTTCACGAAAAAACAAGGAACGACAGCGCGAACCAAAAGAAAAAAGACAATGGAGAAAAGATCACTCTTTTTGGCTTCATGTGATTTTGCCCATTTGGCAAAAGGCAAAAACATTTTTTTATATATACTTTACATTCTACTAAATCAAAGCATGAGGATGAAATTTTGAAACACAAGAAAAAAAAGAGAAACATTTAACAAGGAAAAAGTGAATCATGAGAGGATGTGCAAAATAAAAATTTAAGGAAGGGACATTTGCTAATGAGATGACTTGATTTGATGAGATGACAAATAACAAAGTAAGTTGAATGAGATAGAAAGATTGTCATTACCTGATCATCTTGACTTAACCTCATAAATCCAGGTATGAGTTTGGCGAATTCGATGATATTTTGAATCATTGCTGTCAACTTCTCCGCACAATCCAGCCACAAGTCCTCCTGACCCAAATTCTTATAGTACAATATCCGAGACATATCCTGAGGGGGTGAAAACGGAGAGAGATTCAAAAAATCTGATAAGTGTGCATGAAAGCGAGAAACTTCTTGTTTTGCAGAGAAAATCCAAAATATTTCATGTGTTATATTATTTGCTCTGCTGCCACGGACAACTTTTGATATAATGGGCAATAAAAGTGGTTATGAAAATAAATTCTCCTACATTATCACTAACGCCCCGCTAGACGTCCGTATTTATAGCTTCGCAATGTATGGTTTAATTGTAAATTGCATGAACTTTAATTTATATAATTTGACAGAGTGCTTTGTCATGTCGCACACAAATCTGTAGGCTGTTTGTTTGTGTGTGTTTGAGTTCAGCAAAGAGAATAGCGACAATAGTTTACATCTTTAACATACCTGCGGTTTCCTAAACATATCATGAACTACTTCTAACTTGAGATTTGTGTTTGCATGCGCCTCAGCGAGTGTCTTAATTAACACTTCATTGATGTCACCTTCGGCTGCAATAGAAAGGTCAAAAGTTTCAACATTAGCACGCACTGAAGTTATCAAAGGAAGAAAATTGAGTGTTTAATGTGGGTGGGAGGATGAAATTGCGAAAATTACCAGCAAAATGTTTTCAGTTATTACAATTTCCATTTAACACTTAATAACTAACGCACAGCAGTAAAATATGGGAAATCACACGCAGGTAAAAACTTAAATTACAATGAAATTATTTGGGTTTATAAAATATAATTATACATTATGTACATTTTGTATTTGTTATCGCATCATGCAAATAAGCGAATTATGTTGAGTAAACGCCAATTGAATGTTAAACCAGTAAATATTTGCCACAGAAAAAAAATACGCACGACAAAAAACTGTTTTCATCATTAAACAACAACAATATTTAATGGGGGAAAACGAACATATGAGACATATATTCGGAGAATGAAAATAAATTCCGGATGGAGGAGGAAAAGTGGTGGAAGAAAAAAAAGAAAAGAAAAGTACACATTAAAGACAAGGGGAGAGAAAAACTGTTGCAAGAAAAATCCTTTCGATGGAAGGATCAAATAGCATCTTCTTACCCCATCTCGTATGGGAATCACAAGAGCTATCGTCCTCGCCAAATGTTGTTATTTGAGTTATTTGGGCATTCTGATGTTGGTGGCTCTGGGAACCCGAACCAGGAGGATTTGAATCACCATGGCAGCACTCAGATCCTCGGCGAATATTGTTGCCTATAGAAAAATTCATCTTTCATCTTCAGCTGAAGAGTGGCGCGGGCAGACTAAAGTCCTCCCCACAAATCACAATCAGACATGAACACTAATGCGTTCACAAATTAAAATCATATCTCATCTTTTCCATCTCTTTTTCATCATCATCTTCATCTACTCTAGTAAGGCATTCTCTTTTATCATTCTCTGCGGTCCATAATTTTTCTCTTAGCGTCTCTCTTGAGAAACGAAAAACAACGGAACTTTTCTATCTCTAGGCATTCCAATTAAAAAAAAAGTCATTCTACGATAATTTCTACGGGTGAGAATTAAAGAAAATCAGGGAGGAACAACACCGTCGATGACAATAAAACCATATCAAATGAAGACACAGAGACTTTTTTACCCTACAAAACTCAAAATAACTTCCCGTGAGAAACTTCCTCAGCACATGGAAATGAAATGAAAATGAATTCAACCCTTAGCAACCCCTAAAAAAATATATTGCAAAGGAAATTGCAAGAGGAAGGTAACATAGATGTACTTCAAATCAACAACTGCAATATCATTCACAATTTCCCACCCTGACAGTAGAAAAACGAAAGAATAATAATAGCAAGAAACAACAGATAATAGTTACGAGCCTCTTGCAAAAGTTGGCACGAAAAGAAGATATATAACAGCGAAGGAAGTGAACAAAATAGAATGACAAAAAAAGAAAATATCTTCCAATTTTTCTAAATAAATTCAAATCTTCTGCCATCGCAAAATGCATTCAAAGAGAATTTCTCTCTGACAAGGAATAAATGCAAAAAGAAGTTTGAAAAATATTGATTCGAAAATCACCTGCTGACGCTCCTTGAACTTGAACGAGATTTGGGTTAACCATCTGACTATTTGGTGAGTGCAAGAAAGTCGTGGAATCGACAAAATTGCCAACTAAATTGTCAACACTTTGGAGTGACTCTTGCTTTATGGTGACAATTGTACTTGAATTGTTTGTACCATTTCCGGTGGTGGTTTGATTGTCCGCCGTGGCACCCGCCTGCGCCACCGCTGTCGGCGTCGGTGGCGAAGAGGAGGATTGCTGAGGGCCAGAACTGCTGGCTGCAGCACAAGAGACATATACGGGATTAATCCATTAGTGTGGGGCTCAACTCTCAATACACATCGGACAGACAATAAACACGCGGCAACCCCCAAAATTCACGATGATGATGATGGCATGGGCAACATACATAGATCCATCATCAGCCACTCACCCACGCAAGATGAGCAGCTCCAAAACTGAGCGGAAAAGCCCACACACCCTCGAGCCCGCATAAAATTGTGAGAGACAGCGCAAAGAGTTGCAAAAAAGCCCACAAAATCGATAAGACAGGCGGAAATTCACCTCTAAATGGAATAAGTGCTCCAAATTCCACAAAAATGACTCCCACAGACACTTTCACAAGAGCCTTTTCCGATTTATTTATGAAATGTAAATAGAAAATTGGGACAGAATTAGCACAAAACTATTTGTTCTTTTATACATATCGAAAGGGAAATCCCCAACAATATTGGCCTCCTTCCCAATCGGAAGTTCTTGGAATTGCTGCCGCCAATGGGTGTATTAAGAGGAAATAATCAATGAGGAGAAAATCTCCTTTTCCATGTTTATTTTTAGATACGCACCAAACTTGGCATAATTCTTCCCGGAATTTTTCCTACGTGAAAATCATCATCATCTTTTTTTCTTTCTTGATAAGGTTATTGCCATCGTGACTATAATTTGAGCAGCATGATGGAAGAGTGTGTGGCGCAAGAGAGTGTCACTAATTTTCCACCCTCTCCGCATCCACTCACTATCTGATTATCTTCTAATTAATTAAGTCACTCGCTCGTGAGCCTTATTTGGAGGATTTTCCCGGATCATTTTCGTCAAGAGTGTTATTTTTTTTTGCAACTCTGCGCAATTTTTTGCTCCACATACATTCGAGCCCTTTCCATCCCACCCAACATATTGCTTGTGTAGACGTAAAATCAATTTCACCTCCTCCCGCGTCGCTTCTCATTCCTCAACCCTCCGAAAGAAGAGAGATGAAGAGAGTGAGAGATTGTTACACAGGCCAATTAGTTAACCACAACCACGAAATTACATTTTAGAGAATACAGATTAACCACGAGACTCTCGTTATTTGCATGTAACAATTAAAGAATGATTCTTTTTTTATATATCTGCACAATAAACATGTGTGAGTGTATTTTTGGTGATGCTAAATTCTACCAAGTAATATTTATGCTGTTTTCTCCAAGAAACTTTGAGTGACAGTGTGAAAAGAACAACATAAAAATCACGATGATTGAGGGGTGGTTTTTATGATGTGGAGAAAGACAGATAGATAGAGAGAGAGAGAGAGTCTTTTATCAACATAGGTTACACAGAGGAAAATGTGGTGAGACTCTGGCGTGGAGGAAAGTTGTGGGAGAAAAGGCTGAACTTACTGTGTCCGCCAATGAAGTCCGGATCAATCATCGTACTTCGAGGCTCATATGTTGTTGTACTGTCCACATAATCGGCGGAAATGTCGTAACCCATTGTCTGCTGTGGCGTCACAGATGAGGAATAACCATAGGGACTAGTGTATCCCACCTCATTGAGGTACGTGTATCTATATTGGCCAATTCCGCGAGACCGCGAGGATTGGAAGAGAAGGAGAAACAGACACATCAGTACCACAGAAATTCAAAATTCCCCCAAAACAAGATTGCAATTCAGGGGTGTTTATCATACCCATGATGAAGTTGATCACTGCTTGATGGCGTTTGGGTGTCAAAGACAGAACTATCGGGTGCCGCATCGCTCTGGGCTCTCATTTGCGCCCGATGAAACCGCACCTCGTCCTCCACCTTCTCCCTCTGCTTCTTTGACATTCGTCCGAATTTTACAGCTGAAAGTGAGAAAGAAAAAAAGAACAGAAAATCAATGCCTGAAAGTTCTAAATGACAAATATTTATCCAAGACACTCGAGCATGGAGCATATGCTGCACGAGATACTATGTGTTATTCCTCCATACATAATAATCATGAAAATGCTGTTATTCTGTGATCTTTCCACTTATTTAATTGATATAATTGGGAATGCTTGATATGTTTGTCTTCCACAGCGGCTGTCAGAAGACATGGAAGGTGGAGAAATGACGGGCGAATCGTGAGAAAGTCGTGAAGAGAAGCTTCTTCATTTCTCCCAATCACGAAAGTTGGTGGTTTCATTTCATTGTGACCCAATCCATAAAAGAGGCGCGAAAGCGCGAGAACCTTGCAGATATTTCAATTGACACAAATTGCACACAGTTATCCATTCTTCCCTCGAGCCCATAAGTCACATTGGGAAGCCACTCTTCCCGCCTCTCTGGATCATCTTCTCACACTCTCAATATACCGCGTGTGCACACGGGATTGCCTCTAACAAGGCATCACACAGTTGGAAATCGTGTAACACACGAAAACGTTAATTTTATAACATTAACGTTATTACATGTAGCGCTTATTTAAAAGGCAGTGTGTCAAAAAACAGTTATTTATTATTGTACTCCTCACTTGTTCCTCTTTCTGCTGTTCTTCTTCAACCTTCTTCATCGCGGTATCACTTCTTTTTACACAACTTCTTCGTCTTCCCAGTCACCACACAGCATGAGGGATTCTCTCCACCTTTTGCGTGAAGTTGCGAATACGGACGCATTAATTTTGCGCATTTTGATGAGCTTTTCGTCTTCTTTTTCTTCTTCCGTCTCCGCATTAAGCAAATATTTGATTGAATTATTTCCTCAAAGGGAAGCCCAGCGCTCCTCTATAATTTTATCACTATAACAATTTAACCAGTAATCTGCTCTTTAAGCCCTCTTGCAATACCACAAGAAAACTAAGGCACAACAGCAAAAACAACACAAAAAAACATTGCCAAAAAAGCGTGGCGTGAGGAAAAGAAAAGAGCACCGACAAAAGGGCACAACAATAGCAATAATAAGTGAATAAAAAGAATACTGAATATTAAAATGAGAATGCCGAGCATTGTGTAATAATATGTTGCTTTATGATAAAACATAAACTGTTGGAGACTATCAAGATGCAGCGAAGAATGAAAAGGCAGAGAAGAATGCTCGAGTCAGAGAGAAATTGAGTTTGTCTTTTTTGGGATTCCTCAAAAGAAAATCATCTCTCGGGCATGTTCTTCTTTTCTCATCTCTTTCACTATCCTCCTCTTTCTCTTTCTCTCCCTCGCACTGCAAAGTGTGTATGAAAACCACTAAAGAAAGAAAAAAAAACACACGCAAGATCTTGCAAGACAGTAGAAATGCTTCAAAACATTCTTTAAATGTTGCGTGTGTGCAATTTACCTCTTCTAGCGGTTATATTTACAGTACTATTTCGCTTTTTTCTTCATCACTCGCGACCTCTTATTTTAACACACTTTGCCTTGCATCTTTTGCACCTTCTTCTTCACCACACCTGAGATTTTCACCAGCGACTATAGAAGATTGCAGCAAAAAGAGGGTTAAAGCCCACAAATCTCCCCATTTCGTCACTTTTAAGACGACAGTCTGCCATTGACTCGCGCAGGAGGAATTAATAATCTGAAAAACTTAAGCAAAAGGAAAAATACTTTCTGCATTTCTTTCCTGGCTAACGAGATATTTAATGGGGAATTGTCACTGAATAAAATGCAGAGTGATGGTATAAAAACGGTAAATAAATTAATTAAGATATCTCACAATCCTCACATTCTTCCACTGTCGTGTGATAAGAATTTTCTTTACTCCTCTTTTAATTAATTTCACCATCATTTCTCACCTTCCATATAAACTTTGTACATCATTTCCCACCACGATGGAAATTCAAATGGTTTACGACATGATTGTTTGCTGCATTTTCGCGACTAGACTTATCACATTGCAAATTAAATAATCTGCACTTCAATTCAATATTGATTCAATTACGCTCAGAATTTACGCGATCAATAGCATCGTCGCGAAGACGAATCCCAAATGAATTTTCTCCCAAGAACTTCCTCTACTAAATCACTATACAGACTCTAATAAATTTTACACCATCACCACCGTTGGATTGGACTTTAATTTCAATGGGAAATTTTCTCCTTCAACAGCTCTTTGACTCATGAAACATGCTTAATCATCTGCAAAGTCAGAGATCGACAAGTTGCCTTTTCCAAAGTCTCCTATAATTATGTCACTGCCATACAGTAAAAATATGCTTAAGGAAATTTTCACACGCAAAGCTGATAAATGAAAGACCATTGATTTGCCACTCGGTGGCGTAAAAAGTGTGATAAATTTCCAATCAATGGGAAAAGGATGTTGTAAAGTTAATAACAAATGTCTCTCAATATTTATCCTGCTCGCAAAATATCAAATAATAGTCTATCAAGTGGAAAGGAAATACACACTATTTTCACGTGTATCGATTTTCAGTTGCAACTCGAACATTCTCTCTATATAAACACCACCGAATGTTGCAGTGAATTGAAATAGAAAATAGCTGGAAGAGAGATACAAGAGTTACCCAGTATAAATTGTGACTCCTTCTCTCACACTCTTTGGCTCCAAATGGGAAAAACCCTTTGAATTGTGAATCTATCGACTCATTGTTAACACATTATATTGTATTATGATATTTTTTCTCCCTCTCCCTTCTCGTCTTCGCTTCTATATCCATTGCAAAACACTGGCTATTGAGCTGCAAATGCATCGCACAAGAGGTGGCAACAACAGCCAAGTGACTCTGGCGTAACACGTTTACACGAGAAAAAGACTCCATCAGATGAAAACAAAGAATATACGCCATGAATATGTTTCTGTGTTCTTTCAGCACCTTCTCAATTGCTGATTGATACTGAATTTTCATTTATCACTACTTGACAGACTCAAGTTGTTCACTTTTCCTCTGAAGAGATGTTCAGGACAGTTGTGACAAGGTGATATTGAATAAATTCACGATGAAATAAGATTTCGAGACAATATGTATTGTAAACTGGAAGTCTAAACATAGTCTTGCATATGTATTTGGCAATTTGTCAGTTAAATTTACTGTCACTGTGCGTTAGCAAATCTCCTCCTCGTGAGATTCCAGACGGCAATTATTTTTTCCCACTGCACAATTCAGGGGGAGAGAAACAATGTAACATGACTGCATAGAGACGCAAATAGACAAATTAGAGGTTCTTTTGCAACATTGCCACAATAAATTATATATGAAAATTTCCATAGAATCTCTGCCAATATTGTGAAATCGCTGGAAAAAAAAATAGAAACTCGCAGTGTTGAGGTTCTTGTGGCGCACATGTTCTTACAGCGCTTATAACCGCCTCTCAAGTGCGCCATGCACTTGCATTCTGTTGGTGAAGAAGTTCGAAGTGTGGGGATGCCCTTCGGCAACTAACTGCAAAATTGTGTATATAAATCGTTCCGGTGATTTGTTTCTCTTGATAAACACAAATTGATAGTTAACGATTGAGGAGCTTTTGCTTTGGGAGAGAGAGAGCAAAGGTATACATTCTTGGCTTGTCTTCTTCTTTTTTTCTTACTATTATTACCTCGCGCACTCCTCAGCCAATAAATCCCACGTTCGGTGATTCATCAATGCACCTCTGCATTTGCCCATTAGAGCACACCATACACGAACGAAGGGGAGACAGTTTTATGAAGAATTGTCTCCCTGATAATCTCTCGCACCTGAAACTTCTCCTGCCGCCATGGGAAGTAGATGGACAATGAAGTCGCGTGGGCGGTGCGGATAGGACAGCAGAGGCTCGATAAATTCTAACACGCCCCAGAATGAGATCGCAATGCTGAGATAGTGAGTTGCATTGAATAATTTGTAACTTATATTTCGCAAGGAAATCGATAATAATGCATTGATAGTGGATTTTTACTATTTTAACCCAGCCAGAGTGGGAAATTTCTCCTTGTTCACTTCCACCCAACCCAAAGAATTGTCTTCGCGAGGCACATTTTGCATGTGTTGTGTGAATGAATTGAAAAGCCATAAGTGAGGTGAACAGGAGGCAAATCAATAAATGGGGTTAGAGCACAAATAGCAATATGTAATAGTTTCGCAAAAAGAAGTGGAAGAAGTTGCATTGATATTCAATCAAGAGAGCGACAATGAACTCCACAAACGGCAAACGTCCTTAACTTTGTTACAATTCCCGCACAAGAAAATCGTGCAAAAGTCCAACGCTCACATGTTTGCTGTTGGTTGTTTGAAAAGAAAAGTGTTTCTTTTTCTTTTTCTACTATTTATGGCAAATCCAGGTCTGAGGAAGACACCGAAATAGTTGAACTAAATTAATAAATAAATTCAAGAAGGAAAAATAGCACTATCATCGACGCTCACCGCGAAAATGCGGCTTCATGTTGGACTTGTCATTGAAAATTAACATGTATATATATTTTTTAATTACGCCTTCAGTGCGATACGGACGCCAAGTGTGGCCCAATTGGTGGACTTCCGCACTGCAACCTACTTTTGGGGAGGAAGAAGAATGCGTTCGAGTTCCTATTTGGCAGCACACATTTTTGCGCAGGAAAGAAAACTCGTTCAGAAGTGCAGCTTTAAGTAAATCATGCTTCAATTATAGATTCAAAAGCTCGATTATCGAGCCTAAATACGAAGATTCTACGATAACACTTCCAGTCCAAAAAGGAAAGTAACAACACGTCAAGCCATTGTGCAATAGCCATAATGAAAATTCAATTTTCCAAAACATGTTGCCTGGCATACATTGTTATGTTACAACTTCATCAGTCTGCATATCACAAAACTAATAATTTCGGGCTTGCATTTGAATTTACGTGAATTTCCCACCAAATGCTTACCCATCCCACTGTTCACTCTCCTCAATTAAAAATTGATTTCTGCGAATTCGCACATAGTATTTTGTTATTCAACAATACAAAACTCCTGCATAATTGAAAATGCTTTTCAATTCTCCCGTTTTTGTGCGTCATTTGAGGAATTTTAATTTGAATTCTATTTGATATCCACCCTAACGTGTGGAGTTTATTTGAATTAAACGCAATCATCAATGTGAATTAATTAAACATGGATTAACACTAATGACTGTGAGATATTCAGTAATCCACAAATTATCCCATCGCAACATCCCGATTTCGTTGGCTCTGTTTTGCTGGGCTCAATGTTGATTTTTCAATGCGTGTTTGTGCGCCAGAAGGGATGGAGAACTCTTGTTGAGTGGCCCGAGTGTTGGTGAAACACTTTGTATAATTTAGAGAGAGACTAATTCAATTATTGCGCCTTTCCGAATGCTTTTGCGAAGAATTAGACAAAATCAGTTTGGGTGTTTTGGGCAGAGTGAGAGCACTCTCAGGTTCAATGATCTTCGAGTTATTCACCCTTTCGGATATTGATTGAAAAGCTCATGTGAATAAATTTAGAATGACACGTCATCCTCAAGTGAGGCCCAAAAAACATCTCTATTATGGTATCACGCCCGGAAAAAGTGTAGCAATATTTGGAAACGGAGGCCACTCACACCCGTTGGCCAACCTCAAGAATTTCAGTATTGATATTGTCAGTGCTAAAATCCGTGCTGGAATGCTAAAGAATTGAATTTTCTCTCTCTTTCTCTGATGGTCAGAATTATATTTCGGGAAATTTTGCACACGGATGGCAAAGTGTGATTAAGAAATCGCACTTGGGATTCTCACTCCTCTGTACTCTCTTTCCTTTCTTTTTGTATCATTTTATCAAAGAGTCACGATTCCTGCTTTCACCCACATAATCAGCTCTTTGAATAAATTTTGAGTGGTTGGTGAAGAAGGTGAGATAGCACATGGTTGAATATTTAGCGATAAGGAGAGGAATAAGAACACACGCCATGACAAAGTCTTCGGGGGGATAATCTCCTTGAATATTAATCACTTTTGGTGTCTCTAATCTCTTGAGCTTTTCTCCTTTCTCAACTTTCTTCATCAAAATGATCCTCTCCCCATATCCTCACATGAGCACACACAAACATACTCTCATCATATGCAGAAGGGCTGAAAGGCAGCTGAAGTTTTGGTGTTTGTTTGTAGCGCCTTTGCGACGAATATGAGGCACAAAAGAGATTAAGGAATAAATAATAGAGTTGCGAAGGGGCAAGAAGTTCTCCCATGGTGTATGACGGAAGAAAAGCGCCACAGAGGCGCGTAGTAAAACCCATACAAGTATAGCCAGCGAAAAATTGCGCCTCTCCTCGAAAGAAACGCGCCGGCACAAGTTGATGAGAGGAAGTGAGATAGATCGATTTCTGGGCGCGATTGTGAGATGTGGGACTCCACGTGTCCAAAACGCTTTTATTCCATTCCTTCCCATTTCTGTGCTCCACTCCAGTCATTCACCTCAATTTTCGATACCAACACACACAGCCAAGCCCTCTCGCGCTTGGCTCGCGCCTTTTTTTCGCCAAGCGCGTCTCTTATCACACGCAATATACGCGGAGAGTGAGAGTCACTCATCAGCATGCTCTTTCTGCCTCCTCTCGAGAGGTCTGAGGATAATATTGGCAATAACATACTACTCACCATCACGACTCATTCCCAATTTGAGGCACTTTTGCAGTCGACAATACTGACATCGATTCCTATTGACACGATCCACTACACATTGCTTATTCCGTGGGCACTGATAATTCACCACAGAACTCTGAGACCGCCTGAAGAAGCCCTTGCAGCCCTCGCATGTGATCACACCATAATGCACGCCCGATGATTTGTCTCCGCACACTTTGCATGGGATTATCTCAATTTGAGCTGAAAGAAGACAAGACAAAATCGCAATTAGACATCACAAAGTCATGTTAGATCATCTTAGACGAACGAGAGAGAGTGAGAGACACATTTCATCTCTCAACAAAAGCTGTGGATCAAAGAGATATAATAAGAATGTGCGGCAAAAATCTCACACTGCAAAGTGAATTTATCGTCATTTTTCAGACAGGTAGAAGGAATATAAAATAGCTCATGCATTAATAAACTCATATTTCGTCTCTGTCTCTTCCTGCGACAGAAAATGTTTTGAATATTCAAAATAATTCATAAAAGTGAGGTGAAGACACTGAAATTGCATGAAAAATTCATTTGAAAATATATATATCCAATTGGCTGTTGAATAAGCTAACTAAATTTTTCAAAAAACCTCCACGAAGAGCCATTTACCCTACATTTTATTATGTCACAAAATATATATTGCCCACCAGAGAATTTCATTATTCAATTATTTATTTTAATTCAATAACACAGAATCAATTTTAATTGGTAAATTGCCTTTTATTGCACCAAATATGAGAGAGTCATACTGTTTTCTACGTCACACGGAATCCCAAAGTGTATGAAGCTCTCTTTTTTCCTTCTTCTTGAGATTGAAGAGTTCAGAAATGCGGAAGTTTTGCTAAAGGAGAGAAAGAACATACACAAAAAAAAAGTGTGAAAGAAGAAAGGCAGAGAATATCAAATTTAGCTCCTTTTGCCGAGACACCAGTGTTGGAATAAATAATGTAAATTTGACTTGGAATTCTACGCTAAAGTGTTTATATATAAAACAAGAGAGCAAAACTTCTCTCAACACGAAGTCATTCACCTGACCTGCGAGTGGACCATAGTTTCGAGGATGATATTTGCTCATGTGAACAACATATAAATAGACCTTTCGCAACTCAGGTTGTCTAATCTCTCAATCACGGAAGAAAGTGAATTTCACCTGTTTGCCAAATTGATAAGAGTACAAAGAATTTTGATGTTATCAGCAAACGAGGAAGTTAGTTTGAGAGCTCTTATCGATGGTGATTTGAAAAATTATCACCCGACAATTACTCGTTATAGAGACTCAACAGTAAACCATGCAAAACACCTTGATTTATGGTGATGAATCGCTTAATAAATCTACGCAGATATTTCTCTCGTGTCCCATTAAAATAAAATGTAATAATTTTTCTCATTCACCACAAAATTCTGAATTAAATCATATTTTCACGACATTATATAGTGAAAATTGTGTGTGTGTGCGGTTCATTTCATTTGGTCAATTTTGGGCACAGCAGAGCGTTGTTTTTTTTCGGGTCACGCTGATATGATAGAAAAGCTCTCGCGCAACCGGAGAGCTTTCAATATAAATCACAAAAAGGGACAAAGCACCCGCCAGAGTGGCTGAAAGTCCTATTTTTCACCCTCCGGCCGCGCCATGTGTCCGGGCCGGACGGAAAAGACGACACCGAGAGTGAGATTGATATCAAAAATTTAATAGCAACGCAAATTTCTGTTGCAATAGGTCAGGTATGAGGCGTGATTGTCTGTGTGCGAACTTTCCGCTGCGGTCTCTGTGGCCACTTCAGTGTCGAGAGGCCGAGAGTGTGGGATTATTTGTGGCCGAAAAAAAGCGGTCTCAAGTGTGTCTCTTCCCCATCATCCAATTACACTTTGTCTAACATCCAGTGTGCCGAAGGAGTCACTCTATAATCCCTCCGCCACGCCAATCAATCACGCTGAAAATCAGCGATCAATGTAATAACCGAGGGGTGTGTGGCGGCAGGAAAAAAAAAGTCCACATCACCCCGCGCTCAATCAATTTAGCCATTATATGCCTCTCTCACACTGCCAGTGTGCAGCGCAATTTGTTAATTTTTCATGAAAGTCGCACGCCTACATTCAATTATACTTATTTCGCGAAATAAATCATTTTCAACTGGACTTTTTATATTATTATATCTCATACATATTTCGCCTCCATGCAGATGCACAAAAAGTACAAATCAATTCTCTCTATACCTCTCACACCATCTCATATCCTGCGTGTTTTTTTTCATAGTTTCTCTCTCTTTCTCTCTGTTTAAATGAAAAATACACACAGAACATGAATATTTTTTGGCATTATGCCAGTTATTTTTGCCCATTTCACTGTCGCACCGCTTTAAAAGCACACACACACATCAGAGATTCTCAAAAAGCGAGAAAAGTTCTCAAAAGAAATGAGTGAAAAATACTTCATGAGCCGATTTAGACACGTTGAATGATTCTTCCCTCAAAAAAAATCTACACTGTTTGCATTTTCATAAAAGCTCAACTCAACAGTTCTCAAATTGTTCACTTCGTGGATGTATTTTTCTATTAATTAAAAGCTCTCGCGGAAGAGTTCTTCACAACCACAACATGGTAAGCAATTAAGGATTTTAATGATATGTACGCTCTGCTCATGAAGTAATTCTAAGCATTCACGCTAAAAAACACCCACTAAAAATGCGTAACTACAGCTGAGATATGAGAAAATTGTCACAAATTCCAATTAAGTTTCCACTCTTGTAAAATACACACACACGAAAAAACGCCCTGGGAAATTTCTTAATAATGCACTTCAAGAAGTGGTTCAAAAAAAAATTCTAAATTTGCATTTTAATTGACTTCTCAGTGGCACGGAAAAAAGCACTGAGAGTAACAGAAAAATGAGCAAAAAAATTAGCCATGGTGACTGATGTCATCGCAAAAAATGAAGAAATGCAAGACATAAATTATTTTGTTCATTTTGCCGAGCAAAAAAAAACGAGCAAAAAGGCACGTTTGAAGAAAACATAGTCATTTGGATGCCAGTGAACTTGAGCATTCTCCACCCCCTCACTGGCCCACCCTCGCCTCTTTCGTCCCCCCTGAGCTTCACTCTTTACTTGCTGATTGTTTCTTGTGGCGCGCATTCGCCAGAGTGTGAATGAAAATCGACACAAAATCACGTCTTGAATTGCTTCTTTTGACACACACGCCCCATCATGGCTCTTAGTCTCTCTCAGTAGCTCTTCACACAACTCTTTGGGGGATATACGGCATTCCTCACGAAATTGCAGTGTCGCCGACAAAAAGAGTCACCCGGCATTCATTCTGCCAAACCCCCGTGCCCAAGAATGGTAAATAACCATATGGTAAATAAATCAAAAATCCCAAGGAGAGTGAGAACAAGTCTTTTTGTCCACCATCTCATCAATGAATGAGGAAAAGCCCCCAGCACACAAATTCCTACGGCATTGTTCTGGCAATATATACGCGATGTGGAAAAAAGTGTGTATATGAGAACACAAATCGATTTTAGAGCGTCAACAGAGTGAGAACGAAAACTACCATTGAGTCAATGAACTCTCCTCCCGATTGAGTCATTAGATTCTCTGTTTTTTTTCGGGTGGTGAAAAAGTATTTATTAGTAAAGAAAAAAAAATATTTCGTTGAAACCGAAGCGACGCGCGCGCTTTTCAGCGCGTCCAAACGAAGGAATTCCGAGAATGTGCCATATACAAACTTTTCACAGTTGCTGTGATAACAGCCACTCATTCATCATCAATTTAAAACAACGAGCTATTGGAAAAATTCACATAAATTCACATACAACCCGGAGAAATTCAATTAAATCCACTCCGAGGCCACTAAGTGGCTCAATTTCAAGCCACTTCAGAACAAACAAGATTTTCCATTCTCTCACCCAAAGCCGCGCGCATCAGTGTGTGATTGCATGCGATATGGATTGTGAGTCAGTGAGATGGGAATAAAGACAAATATACGCAGAATTTGACGCGGGCGAAGAGAAAAAAAAACGCTTGACCCACTTTTGCATTTCAGAAACACCGCATATCTGACAATGTTCTCAAATCATTTATCAGAGGAAGTCTTATCATCCCACCTCACGAGATTAGGAAGGCAGCAATAAGATGCTGAATTTGGGTGAAATATCGTTCACAGAGACGCCAATTTTATGTCTAGACAACATGAAGTCCGTCGCAAATCACCAGACTTAAGCCCAGTCTTGTGGCTAAGCTACAATCTCTACCTCTGATGGAGTTGGGAACCTTCTTCTCGGGCTCCACTCCGGCCGCATTGTTGGCACTTCCCGGCGTGGCAATGTTCATGGCGGCGGCCGCATGCAGGTTGCTGCAGTTCTGGATCAGTGGCGGCGGCGTCGTGCTGTCCGCCGTGTCCTGATGTCCTGGAAAGGTCGACGACGCGGCCGCGGCGTGCTGGCACGGCGACGTGGACGTCGATATGGCACTTAGTGAAGAGGAGGCAGCCGCGCGCCCATTGCGCGTGATGGTCGTGTCCAGAGGCAGTCGCAAGGACTCCTTGATGGCTGGCGGCTGCGGGGGCCTCATGGGGCGACAGGAGGCCGTCGGCGGCGCGTAGGCGGCGCGATGGTGAATGGGGAACTGCTGGTGCCGCTGAATGTTGGTCTGATGCGGTGGACCGCGCATCTGGCTGAGCTCGTCGAGGAAGAGGCGCGGATCGAGGCCCATCGGCGCCTCCTTGCCCACCTCGCCCATTGGCGGTGGCGGCGGCGCCGCCTGATGGGCCGCCATGTCCATCTTCCCGCACGCCGGCACCACGTTGTTGTTATTCGCGGCAGCACGCGCGCCCCCATATTTTCCATACCAATTCTGACTGAGAAAGTCGCTAAAGTCGTTTTCCATCTTCTCCAGCGTCTCTTAGGTGGGATACAGTGGCCGTATACGCTGGATATTCATCGTTGGCGGTTATGTTTGCACCACCCACCGCCTCACTCACGATTTTTCACAATCTCCCAGCGGATGGCACTTGCTTACTTTGGGGATTTAGCCGCGCTCCCGATGGTCTATCACTGAAATTTGGCAATCAACACGGGAATTTTCACGTACCAACCGAAATACCCTCTCACACTCTCAAGCCTCACAAGCCCATCCCGCCCCACAGAGGATTACCACAGTGAATGGATTGCGCCCAGATACCACATGCTCATCACAGCGAAAGCCATC